AAGGGCAGTCGCATTTTAGTGGAATTAAATTACATTTCCTTACTGAAATAAATTTTCCTCTCAGATCGAAAAAAATGCGGAAGCAAGCGGGCATCGCATTTATTTTTTGCTCGCTTACAAATCGATCACTCGATGACTTGCTCTCATTTGTTTGGTTAGAATTGTAAGCATTTTCTTCTGACATGTATTCTTCCATTCATCAAGCTCCAATGAATGCTCGTAAATAATTCGGATGTAACTCGATCGGAAGACTCGGTGGTGATGGGTCGGTAGCTCTTTCCGTGAATATTTTATAAACAAAATGCGCCGATCACGGGAAGGGAACTTGAAAGACTTCAGGCTCCAGCTTTCAGGAAACGCAGTTTGATCCAAGTCTCCGAGCGAAGCCGTGACGACCGAGAGAGTCGCGTTGCGGATCGTCACATTTACCCCACACGTGTGACCACACTTACCCCTACACGTGAGACCGCACTCACCATCATGGAATCTAATTTAACATGACAAATATGGGAGAAAAAAAAATTTGTCTGGAATCGTGCAAGCGAAAGTTGAACGAGGTGCGCCGAATGAAGTACTCAAGTCGAAAGAGGGTGCTCTCACATTCTGCGAAGCACCGCTCAGTTGAACCAGTGAAATTTGAGCAGATGTACCGACCAGGATTAGCATGACGGAGTTCTTCGTTGATGGCACATTACGCTTGTAAGTACAAACAAATTAGGATTCATCGCACTCGTCTCGCGATCACGCTTACCCCGAATGACCTTTGTAACTTCCGCTGCCATTGCTCTGTTGGCCCGACCCCGAAAAAGTGGCATCGACGGATCAGCTTCACATATTTGAAAAGGGATTTGAAAGGTGTTTGTGGTAGAAAAGTTGGTCTACCCTCATTTCGGGGAATTTCCTTTGTACTATTGGCTGGCGAGCGCATCGAAGAACGTTTCATCGAACAGAAACTGCAACGAGAGGCCGAACCAAACGTGTCTCAGATGAAACGCGAGTTTTGACGTGGAACTCGCCCTGGAAAATCCTACTGAAATTTTTTTTTTTCAACTCGAGTCGTCGGGAAATCCGTTGACGAACGTGAACCTTTGGTAATATCATTTTACGTCACGATATCTCCAACGCATTTCCAATGCGTGCGCTTCTTGATATACGAAGGAACTGCCTCTCCGCGTCGACCGACATGTTCCTGCCATCCTCTGCTTCCTTAAAAAGAATCTGAAGAGACGAGACTCGAGGCGAAATTCCCAGTCGCCTTCATCCACTAAATAAAGTCACGATCTAAACCGTATTGCCAAAAGTATTGGGACGAGCCTCCCTCCGCAGATAGCAGAATATCCCGGAGGTCACTTGATAGAGCGCATTACTGTCGTCCAAATGTATATCACGGTTGTTGTATATCGGTTATGTAACGGTATGTAACGGTAGCAATCTGTTACCGTTGGCGTATGCCAGCATGGTGCGGGGATTGGGACTCGCGGAGCTTCAACACGGAATCATCGTTCTTCGTCATATCGTCCTTTGTCACGATGCATTTGGCGATGTAGTGCATGTCTGCTATCCAGATCTCATTCAAATTATGTCACTGGAGGAAACTTTTCAAATTCTTCGTTTCAAAAACGACCCCGAACGATTAAAATCCGATGTGAACACAATACGAACTGGAAGCATTTCTCTGAAATCCCTCCAACGAGTGGAAGCATTTTGCAAGAATCTTCGTTTGGGTCGTCCTATGGACACGTCCGAGTCCAAAGGACGACCCGAATCCTTTGAACGCGTCCTTTGAACACCATGTAGGTCTCTCTCACGATGCCCTCGACCTCGGTCGAAATGGACAACCATCGCCACGTGTCTCCGGTGACACATGGTTTGGCAACACGTTGACGATGCCCGTGCTCCACAATTGCGGGACGGTACCTATGAAGGTACTCATGAAGGTACTCATGAGGGTACTTCTCTAACCGAGACATCATCAATCTCTCTTGTGCAGACTACCACTAAGGACATCTAGCAGTATGTGTACACTGGGCGTTCCTGGAACAGGCAGTTACGGGATGCGTTTCGGAGTCCGCCGTCCCTCGGAATGCCCTCTCGTGATCTCTAACGAGAGTCGACAGTGTGCGCAACCTATGGAATCGCGTCAGAATCATGAGAGCGCAGAAATCGGGGATAGATGTCGGTCGTGTACGTCCCCTTTCGAAAACGAGACCATTCCCCCTTTTTCCCACGGCAAATGGACGAGGGGCCAGGGGACGATATCGAGGTATCGAGGTGGTTTAGCGGTATCGAGAGGCAAAGACAACCGTTTGATACCTCGTGTCGAGGTATGTCATTGCGATAGGAAGCCCTTCGCGTGCTGAACGGGAGAAATTACCCTTCTTCGCGGGAAGCCGATCCACTTTGACAGATGCGTTTTCCTGCCTGTTTCATTTTTATGCACGTGGGAAGTATTAATGTCCTTGCGTCTCGATCGCGTGTGGTTGAGACGACAATGACTCTCAAGTAAACACCACTCAATTTTACGTGCATGCGGCATGTTTTTCCCGTCGTAATGATTCTTTCTCTGGGAGAAGGCCTTCGCAGTTGAGGAGAAAAATGATTTTTTTTGGATATCTTGTCGATGAGCATCCTTAAAGTTAAACTTTTTTAAACATTAAATACGTTAATTTGCAGGGTTCTCACGGGTAGGAAAATTTTTTTCATTACCATTCTTTCTTTTCGAGAATTGTGCATTGAAATTTGTGGATGTGACCACTTCCACCCGTGAATTCCACCTGGTCCACGTTTCCACCACCATCATTGCCACCATCCCCATCACAAGCATTGTCCTCGTCAACACGCATGAGACTTGACTGAATCCAGAGAGCAGCAGAACAAAAGCGGATCGAAAGAATTTTAGGAAGTCTACAACGAACTCAGAATTGAAGTCCCGTCAGTCGTTGCTCAGATGGAAATGGGAAGCTCACCGATGCTTATCATCTCATCCTTGAGGGTCTTGTGGACGCGTACGTCGCTTCCTTTTTGGTTCCCTGGCCCCCCAGAGGTTTCCAGAGGCCAGGGGTAAAACTAAACAGGAGGCCACTGGCCGATTTCAAAACGGCAGTTCGGTTGCAGTTCGATTTCAGTTCCAGATCGATTTTGGTCTGGCTGAAGTTCCGCTGTGCTCTCGTGGACTTCTATCGCAAAGAAATTCCAACTGGAACTGCCACTGAACTAAAACTAGACCTGAACTGCTACTGATCTGCGCCTGGACTGCATTTGTGAATGGGTATGGCCGGATGGGCTCTTTTAGACATTTGGTCTCATTGGAGGTCCCCTTGGGGCCCCTTCGTACGTGAGACCCGGGGCAGACCGTCCCGATGTCCCCCTCCCCCCCACTGGGTGGACCTGCCCTTTACCCATTCGTGGTTTGCAACGTCCACTCCTTTGCTTTCCATGCACGGGGAGTCTCGGTTTCTGAGTCACACGCATGCCTTCGTTTCCCTGTTTCCTTTTCTTCCCGGGCTGGGGAGGGATGGAAGGGCAGCGTGAGGACTCCTTCCGATGACCAGGCTGTACATGGCGCGTGGGCGACGAGAGGAAGGGGGAGGATGTGTCCACAAGCAGGAATGAGTGAAGCCAGTCTCCCTGCGCACCTATGCGCATTCGCGCGGTAGGATTTTCTCCCATTGCAGAGGTCAACCGTTCATGCCGAAAAAAGCCACTGATAGTGTCAGTGCGAAGCCATCGACATTTCCACGTGTACCTAATCTGTTTTGTTCAGCAATCTGGCTACATAAGAAAGCAGAATTACGTACAAGTTCGGGAGATCAATTGTAAAGCGGAATTAAGCGGATCGGTTGGTAAATGCCCCGCTAACACGTTGGAAATGTGACTTTTGAGCGTTCGAGTGTTCTTCCGTTACACAGAATGAACGTTGGTATCCAGTTGAAATGTCCCTTTTGAAGACTCTCAAAGCATCGTCGGAACAAGAGTGTTGAAGCAATGCTATGACAAATTTTCTACATGAAACACTTGATCGGGACAGGATGCCTGCAATCTGGTGGTGGATCGAACGAAGAAAGGTTGTCACAACCGACGCGAGATGACGCCAAAGTAGCCGCCATAGCGAGTGAATATCTGATACAGGTCCAATTAGGTCCGATACTTCCCACGCGGTACATGATCGTACCCCACAGACGCCACTGAGGAAGAAATTGAATTCTTCAAAAAATTGGTCTCCAGTCCAAGGAGTCTTCCAGAAACTCCGGCTCGGAGCATGTTTCAGCTTTCTAGTTGGCTCAACGAGAAACTTACAGGCTTAGCTCACATATCCGACATATGAAGCGTAGTCAAGTGCGGGACATGTCCTATTCTTCTGGAGAAAATGGAGTCGGGTGTGATGGGACTTTTATTCCATTGTGGCCACTCCGGCACGCAACTCCGGTCCTCAAAAGGAATGTTTCATGGGTACTCATCGAGCGTTCTGGTGCTACTTTGTCATGCTTAACTCGACGTTATGAGTGAACGTTGGAATAGCGTTCGTCAAACGCTCTCGTGCCGACGTTGTACGCAAGTCCTACTACCAGAAGCTTTGTGCAGATGGACAGTCGGAAACATCCAGAGAAAAGCTGCTCTCGCGGTGATAAGCCAGAAATACGTTGAATTCCGATCCACGTCTTTCCACGAATTCGTGACCCTCACCCTGATCGTCGTTCTCGTCTTGCTCTGGCTCTCCAGGGATCTCCAGTTCGTTCCCCGGATTGCTCCGACTATATCAAAGGAGACGGGTACAGGCTTTTTTCGTCTCCATTTTCTGTTCGTCTTTCACCGTCATGTCCCTCTTTCTCTGTGAACTTCACGACATGGAATAAGGGCCGTATTGCTTCCTAGGGATTTAGACATCGGAGATGAAACTGCTGCAATCGTCATCGCTTGCTTCCTCTTCTTTCCCGCAATACCAAAGTTCTGGTGTTTCCGAGAATCACGGGTCTGCCCACGATGCTTCATACTTTGAGTACATGGAGATGATCAGTATGAAGGATCTTCTGCGATTCAGAGAGACCATCCGAGTCCAGCTCCGCCCTTCTCGAGTCTCGGATCCTTCACAAGAAGATCCCTCGAGGTTGCTCCTCCTGGTTGGAGGGGGATTCGCTATGGCGGCAGCCTTTCAAGCATCCCGCTCTTCCTATTGGCTGGGACGGCATACGGGAAGACTGGGGTCCATGCCCCCAGACGTCCTTGTCTGAGTCATCACTTTCATGACGGCCATGATAACGGAAGTGGCTTCCAACACGGCCGCTGCTCCTCGTCCTCATTCCCATCCTTGCACAGCTCGTATGATACTACTTCTACCCACAATAGTACTCAGCCTCTTAGTACCACGCTGGCTAGTACCACGAGGTACTAGTACCATTAATACCATGTTGGCGCACAGGTATTTTAGCGGTATTTTAAAACCCTCTTGTCACGGGGCCCGCCATAAGTGTTAAAAACTACTTTTGCAAGGCTCACAGCTGGATTCTCCCACTGTAAAAAAAAAAAATAATTCCGACTAAGTCATCGGAAACAGTTTCCGTCTAATGCGCGGAGAAGGGAATTCCGATTCATAGTGGAAATCATGTCTACTATTTTTTAACGTAAACATGCTGTTCCGAAAAAAAAAACTCGGAATCCATCCCTCTGACTAAAGCGAGTACAAACAAAGCTTTTGGTGCGCCGATACGACACACTTCGAATATTTCAGAGCCTTTGGACACGTTTTGTTCCCATTTTGAGGGAGAATATATCCTGTGACACATATCGGATCATATGAAGAGCATGGAGGAACCCTAAATAGCTCGCTCCGCCTGAGAGTGTGCTTACTTCTTGGGGGTCTGTCATTTTGAAACGTTTAGTCCGAGGATGTTCGACAGTGGTGGCAAAGTGCCTGGGAGTATATATCAGTGCGCCCTTGCCCTCAATCCATCTCCCCAATGTCTGCCTCTCTGCCTCTCCACCGTCTGTTTCAAATCAATTCCTTTAAAGGTTTTAGTATCGCGCATTTTGCATTCCAAGGAAGGAAGGCGCAAATTTGATCTCCGGAGAGGGGATGGAGGGGAGGTTTCAACTCACCCCAGCCTAGACACGTACCCGGTTAACTGCAAGACTTCAAAAGCTCTCATATGACGTAGACATTAATTGCTCGACGACCTATGCGGCGCACGATCCAAGGTGGTGGTGTGGTTCGTGTTCTTCAGTGACTGCGTCGGTGAGCTTGAGTTTTGATTCACCCTCGCCTAGGGTCACCTCAACGGGTATGATACTTCTCAGTTGTTTACATGTCCTCGAACGATAAATTTTGCTTATTTTCTCAATGTTCAATGTACAGTATTTACTGCTGAGAGAATGCAGTTCCCGCAGACTTTTGGGCAGAAGTAGAACGTTTTGAAATAGGTTGGAAGATGAAGATATGATCTCTGAGTAGATTAGAATTGGTACTTTTTAACATTAATTTTTTTTCCAAGCCGTGTAACTATATGCATGCAGCCTGTTATTTCAATGGGTTATCATAACAAGTCCCTCACGAGATGAAATTTTGACACACCTTTCGACACATTCAAAGTGTGTCGATTTATTCGACACGTTCAAGGGGTGTCGTAATTGGGACAACTTTCGACACACCTTTTGACACATTTAAAGTGTCATAATAGGGACAGCTTTCGACACAGCATTTTCGGGTCAAAAAAGTTTTGTGTGCAATGGAGCTCTACTCTCATTTTCCGAAAAATTCCAATCCATAGTCGGAATCGGGCTTCCGTTCACGGAAATGAATTTCCGTCTCATTCGGGTTTTCCTTAGTTGGGTTCATTATTCAAAAACGGCTCCTCATCGTTCCAAATACTGCATAATAAATGGATTTCATTATCATTTTACGACCTCCCCTCATTAATCCGTGAGTATTTGTTGCATCCCTATCACGGAGAATCTGTAAGTTCCATTCACTAATGGGATTATTCGGTTTCTCCTTTTAATGCCTTTCGGAAAAGACTGCATTTTAATCGTTCTCGCCTTTCTCTCTTCTCAAATAGAAAGTTTGAGAAGGACTGAACCCTAATTCTTTTACACTATGATTGGCGAATAAGTACGGGCCAAGCAGCCAGGAAATGTAGAAGACGTCGGTTCAGCAGGGCGTCCATCGTATCAGAGCAGTTCCGCTCCCAACGGGAAGAAGCTGTCATGCGCTTCGTTTCACCTGTATCCGATAGGGAAATACACATAAAAATTCCTTTCTTCCTGAGAATGAAAACTGTGCGTTTCCCGAAGCATCACGATGTAATAATTTAGGGGATATCGGAGCCTACTGGGAGTCATCTACCGTTTGGAATGTAAACTAATGGTGTCGGGAGGCCTCTCTAAGGTGTCGATACGGAAAGGTCCGAACGATAGGCAAGGTTTTTCTGAGAATAATTGAAACAGGCTTTTCCGACACGAAAGAGGAAAAATGATCGTTCGCCTAAACTTTTGAATTCGGATGTAGGCCCCTTAACCGTAATATCAATATTTTGTGGAAAAGGAGGGGGAAATTCTGGAAATAAAGCGAAGTCGGATTTCTGAGGATATGCAGGAAAAATGTTCCGTCCATTAGAGGGAATGCAGGTTTACATGCTCTTAGTCGGAAATTTTTACGATGGGGACTCGGAAATTTTCTACATTTTTTTTTACTGCGTATCTCTTACTTCTTTTTCATTCCCTGATAGGCAAATGTTGTGGAAGTGAATCCTCTGTACCTGAAGTTGCCATCGACTGCGGATTGCCTTCGTGTTCCCATTGGCCACCCCTCATAACGCCATCGTCTACCAGGCCACCCAAACGAGGATCACCGCCGCGGTACGTCATTACATTTCCGATACTCTTTTCTCTTCACGACCGGGAAACTTGTCACCCCTTCCTTCCCTTCCCTTCCCTTCCTTCACCGATTCCTTGCGATGCAGATGAAGGCCTGGCTCGTCACGAACGTGATCTGCGTGGCGACGATCGACCCGATCATCAGCGTGTTAGAGTGTCGGCTCTACGTCTTCTCCGAATTCCCCGACCGGGCAAAGGCGAGGAATTCCAGGTCCTCTTCTCGCTGCAATCGTACTGCCATCTAGCATCAACTAAACTTTTCCATCCTGTTAATCACCTAGTTTCCGCGCAAATGCCGATGATAATTCCTAGTAAGTTTGTCTCTAATTTCCATTTAATTTCATCTCATCAAAAACACACGGAGCACGAAATGAAATATCTTATCAGAATGCTATAGCGCATACTTTTTAAATCAAAGTACGACCCTGTTACAAAAGTATGAAAATTGGTGATCGAATCGCAGGAAATGTTGTCCACGGGGCGGCGCCCCGTTGCCTAATTTGCATTTATGCCCCCAGCCTCTCACCTGCCCCCGTGCAGCCGCTCGAGATGAAATCCTTCGGGTCAGGTTCGGCCCGCAGACCGAGGAGGTAGACGCGCGACCTCGTGAGATTCCCGAACCCTTCGGAGCCGTGACACGGCTGCGCATGCGCAAAGCAGGATCGATCACCGTCTTCCCCGCAATGCGCCTCCTTCAGTCGTCTCGTCTCCCTTCTCTCCAACAGACTCCCATCGACTTCTTGGTGAGTATCGGTCCGTGTAGCGGTTATCGGCAGCGTATTTAGAACATCCGCGCCCATTTTAGGGGCCATGCACACTGACAGCGAAGAGCTGCGTTGCGACCACTGCGACCGTCGCAGTTTGTCGCAGTCGGTCGCAGTACGCATCGCAATGGAATAGGACAATTCATTCCTGTCGCACCCAAGCAATGGTTCGCGCTGCGTAACAATTGACTGCAAGTGACGAAATCCTTTGACGCTCAATTTGGCGGCTGTATCGGTGTAATTACTTCGGCGGTAGATGATGCCGATCATCATCAATTGGTTCTCTACGAACGAGATACATAGCTAAAGTAAATAAATCTTCAAGAAATGTCTCGATATCGATTGTATTCCCGATGATTTTCCATTGTTTCAATTCATGAATTCTAATTTTATTAAGTCGAGAAGCTCTTGTTTTTCGAGCGCAAAAACATGAGTCGTCCCCTCCTTCAGAACAGCGCTGCATGATTTGAGATATTCAGAATATTTGTATGGAGTATGCATTTACCCAACTCAGTGACACTGCCACCATTTGCGCGGGGAAATGCATGGTCCGAAGTTAGTGTCCTGTCGTCTCTTTAGCAGATCAAGAAGAGTCTTTGAACAGCTCAGGAGACATTCTCATGGACTTGGGAGAAAAACACTCATTGTCTTCGGAGAGAATATTTTCTATTAGGGTCTCGAATTCTCCCATCTGATGACGGGATCTGTGTACAGGATGTACCTACCTACCGTATCTACAAAAAAGCAAAAGTGTTGCAGCAGGAGCTCTCAAATTGTACACGGCCATATTTGATTTCGCTAGGGAGCTCTGCGACCAGTGTGGAAAATGCTTCGCAGACAGTCGCAGTCAAGAGATGACTGCGAATTTCGCAGACGGTCGCAGTGCGGCTTTGTCGCAGCACTTCGCAGTCGGTGTGCATCGGCCTTTACTCTACACTCTAGAAAAAGGGGAGCGATTTTGCGTGCTACATCACGAGTTGACGATTGAGCATAGGTCACTTGCTAGTCACTTCCGGCAAAAAAATTTCCGAAGACACGTCTGGAATTTGCATCCTTTCACTCCCTCCACTACCTTCCCCCCTCCCCACCTTCCCCCCTCCCCACCTTTCCCCCTCCCCACCTTTCCCCCTCCCCATTTCGTTCTCTTTCATGCACATTCCATACCCAGTTTGAAGCCTTCCCACGAGTTCTACATTCATTCGAGACCGTTGCACTCCCATTTCGCATTCATGAGAATGAGGTTTTTCATATGCGATGCGCCTCGACGCTCGACGGACTAAAGAGATCATTCACGGAACAAAGGATAGGAATCCGGGATGGAAAACGCAGGGAAATAGAGGAAATCGTTCAGAACCATGAAACACATTTTTATGCTCAGAACACAAACGAGAACTCCCTGTGTGCACGAAGAGCTCCACGCGGTTTTGTCGAGAGAAGAATGCAAGGGGCGTTGCACATTGCAAGGGATATTGCACATATGCGTTTCCTTTTTTGCCCTTTTCTCACTCTTTGCCCTCGTTTAATCCCGCCAACGATCCTCGGGAATCTTTCGAAAACCTAGTCGGAACAAGGCTGAGGAAGTCGACGCGTTTCTTCGGGTTTAAAAATCAGTCAATTAAATTCTTTTTATTTCCGATAACAATTTTGTTGTAAATTTCGGCGATGCCTAGCTTCGACTCGGATCCTCAAATGAATCCGTTGAGTACAGATTTCCCCCGTCGATCCGACCGATCCGCCGGAAGCGGCGTCGGCGGGATTCCTTCAAATTTTTTTTTGCCGGTTTTCCAGAAATTCGGTATTCCGAGATGATCGCCGAAACGCCGCTTTCCGCCGTCGCGGAACGAGATTCCATTGCGTCAATTGCCACTCGTGCGCCTCGAGAATAATCCATCAAATTTGGATGATTTTTCGATGGCTCGTCGAATCGGGTCCCGTCCGCGCATTCGTTTCTCCGTGCGACCTGAGGAGAAAGTTTCCTGCTACAATTCCCAGCTTCAACTTGAAAAACTTTCGTGATTACCTCGTCTTTTCGCTTCTGGGGGGACAGCTTAGCAAAAAGTAATCGAGGGCTCAGTTTCGAACTAAATATGAGTTCCACATGCACATATTTCATGTGATACACATTCGTGCAGCACAAGATCGCATGTGTCACACGTACGCATGAACGACGCTGCACGTTTTACATGCAACATATTGCGTTGAACGTATTGCGTTGCGCGTATTACGTCGCGATTCGGAAAAGACGTTGGGTGGGTGTCTAAAATAGCAAAATCGGACACCTGAAGGTTGAGTCAACCCGAAAGGTTGAATCGACCGAGTCGACCGCGCGTGAGAATCGATCTTGGGGTGTTTACGTTCTATTTTTTCCTGGAAACGTTGGGGTTTGCCGTTTCATCCGCTGCGTGGATGGGGGAGAGGAGAGGGAGGGAGAGGAGAGGGAGGGAGACGACGGGATGGATCCTTGATGTTGCCCCGGAAATCCCGCCTTGGAGAAGGAGGGAGAGGGGGGAGAGGGGGGGAGAGGGAGGGAGATGGAGGGAGAGGGAGGGAGAAGGAGGGAGAAGGAGGGAGAGGGGGGAGAGGGAAGCCATCTATCATGATGGCCTCGATTATAAAGAGTAATCTGACGCCCATGATTCAGACGAACTCACTAATAGGAGCTCTGCTCGCAAGCGCGGAGATTTTTTCCACTTACCAGCTCTCGGCCTGAAAACGGTGATTGCAAGAATCATGAATTTGGCAGGAGAGACGGAGTGTTTCGACACTTAATCGTATTTTCAGCCCGGAAACGAGCCGCACTTTTTCCCGTCGATTTTTGCGCCGCCGCGAACGTCTCGATGTCGCCATCGACGGTTTCATCAGGCTTCACGATGCATCGGCGTTCTGCTAAGCGAAGCGCCAGAACGAACGTTTGGTGATGCGTCAATAATGCTCGAGTAACGAAGGCCCCAGAGAGCCCGAAAGGTGAAAGCGAGAGCGAAAAAAAAGTCGATCGACGACGAGAAGCCGGTTCGCTGGCTCGTCCACCCCTGCAGTGCAGATAAGCCGGCGAACCGGCTCGTCTCTGCGTCGGGCCTTCTGTCCCCTTCCGACATTTTTTCCCTCCCGATCGGTTCCTGCTCACCGGCGACTATTTTTTCACCACCAACACGACGGCCCCCAAAATCGGCCAAAGAAAATCGAGGATCGCTTTCGAGCAACTGCGGCATTAAAAAAGGAAAGACTTCGTATCTCCAGCAGCAATTTTCACACGCCGAAAGGAGGAACTCGAAATCCACTGAGAACAGCCTCCCTTGCGGCCTTCCTTCCTTCCTGCCTCCCTTCCCTTCGATCGAGCAATGAGGAAACGTCCTTCGAACGCCGCGACATTGGAAAGCCTAACGACCGACGCCTCGAGGGATAATATCATTTATTTAATTTATTTAGATTTGTTGCCGACTCTGGTCCGAGTGAGTCTCAGCGCCTCTTTCCGGGTCTGCCTTTTCCAATATGATTACTCCCAATCATCGATACTCGTTTTACTCCAGAAAAGGTACTTGATGCCTCGCGATGAGACGCTTAGGAAATTCCTTGGAAATCCTTAGCCCCCTAACCCCCCCTCTAAAAAAATTTATAATAAAATAAATAAATAACAATTAGCATGAGATTCGAACTTAGGTCTCAGTACTTATTTTCCTTAGGGCTACCACTCGTGGTGAATCTCCTTCGTGAGGATGTCCGTGAAATATATTTTAATTAATATTTTGAACTAACGCATTCAGAAAATAAGAACGGATGTGAGCTTAACAATTTTGCTCATGCTTGATTGAGCAAAGGAACTGAAAATAGCCTGGAGTTGCTTTTCAAATTTCACTGAAACATTCCTTTATGAGAGACGTTTGAAAAAGGGCGGGTATCGCCCATCGTCCATCATATGATCATCATGGCAATCGATTAGTTGTCTCATTACGTCTGATCGAGTATGCGAATGGACGAGGTGTGACCTGCGAAAATATTTTTTAAGGGGGGCAGGGGGGAGGGCAAGGGGGGGAGCAGAAGGGGAAGGGCGTGGTTCCCTCAGAAGGTGCACGGTGGGGCTTTGAAACGATGCAGGGAATGAGGGTATCTATCACGTCTCCGCATTTCCATCTCCATCGTCGAGATGAGGAGATAAACACACGCGATGGGAGCACAAAATGCGAAAGGCCTTCGTTTCGGGGTCAACCACATCCAGGAGGAGAAGAAGGAAGAGGAGGAGGATGGGGGAAGGATCAAGGCCGGACAAACTAGCACAGGTGTGGCGTGGAAATTCATTTTCACGGTGACCGGAGTCGGTTCGTGGTTCCCGTTAGAAAATGAATTACGCCTGCTGAAAGCTGCGACGATTCGGGCGTTTTACACCAATTAAAAGGTTTCAGGAAGGGGGGAGGAAGAAGGAAATAGGCTTCACAAATTTTCACTTTTATTTCGGTCCTTCGATTTAATGGTTCCGCCCCTCCCGCCTTCCTCCCGCGTTCCTGTAAAAAGAGCCTCCGGGGTTCGCAGCATGATTTCATCCGTTTTGCAGGTTCGCGGGAAGAACGAAAAGGTGGAGAGAGCCAGTAATGGAGGATTCCGGCACGCGACAGGTTACGTGCCCGTGTTTCTTGATGTCTACGACCTAGACGTGATTAGTGACGTGAACGGCCTTCGTGCGGGGAGAAAGAGTACGTGAGTGCGTTCATCTCCCTCATCCACAGACAAATCACGCACATTCACGCGCATCGTTCGGTCGCATCCCAGGATTAAGTAGGGAACTCGCGAAACAGTAGCCACTCACTCGCTCCCCGGTTCCCATCTCGATAGGGTTAAGAACTTGACGAAGACGATGAGCTGCCCAAAGTGAAACTTGGGGGAGGTCATCGTCCTCGAAAGAAAGTAGAGTCGAGGGCAACTCGTTACTTACGCGGTCCGCTGATACCCGTGGATCGATCTCTTCGGCTCTTAGGTGAGAGCGTGACGACCGGGAACGCTGAGATTCGGCATCCTCCCCCTCTCTGGTTGCGCCCGACCGAGTCAGAGCGAGTGCGGTGGTGCCTTCAGTGTCCATCGAAGACAGTCGAGATGGTGTCAGCGGCAGCCGAGAAAGTCAAGTGGACATCCCACATCCTCCCCTTCTGGAGGACATGGATCGTGATCCTCGTCCCGCTTCTGGCTCTCCCGTTCCTCTTCGTCCCCGAACAGCGGGTGGTGAGTCTCTCCCTCCCTTCGACTTCACTCGTCGATGCACGGTCGGCCACCATCTATTCATAATGGGCCCGTACCCATAGCCACGCATTTGGCCGGTGGGCCGAAAGGCCGATTTCGATCTCGTACCCATCGGGCGGTGCCGGAACTGATTCTGGTCTGTTACTGTAGATTGAGAAGAAAATCGCATGAAATCGTATACTATTTACTAATTTAAATGGGGCCGATTGGAAGCTGTCTGATACTCATTAGCGGGTCTCCTTAAAACGATACAGACTGCTTTTAGACCTTTCCAGTCTCCCTGTCTGTCAACGTGTCCGTCAGTGGTTAGCTCGTCATCTATTGCTGCTGTTAATAAGAGTTTAACGACACATCTCGCAATAGTGTGACGTAAAAGGAGGTGAAAAGATTCCCTGTTCTTTGGCTCTATTTCCTAATCTTATTGATGTTTCTGTCCGTGAGAGGCCGGCACCTACCTGCGTTCACACGTTCACCTTTTTTCGTTTTGTCCGTCCTTCGAGCGTCGGCATCGGCTCCGGCGGCTTGCTCCACTACCGATGGCCGATGACGCCGATGGTGCAACACCGGCGGCCGGATGGCAGAGTATTGCACGTTCACTGACCAACACCACTCAAGTGTTATTAAAATTAAAATTTTAATGAACATCTACTGTCAGACCGTAATGTCGGATAGCTATAGATAGGACTTCTGTGGGCCGGATCTGGTCCACGGGCTGCTTGTTGCCGACCACTGCCACAGAGGGAAAAAAACCATTAGGGCTGTACCAGTGGTCACTTTTGGCCGATGGGCCGATCATGATCTGATGCCCATCGACCGGGACCGATGCCGATGCCGATTGTGACGTGTAGGTGAAGAGCTGAAATTCGTGAGATCGAATGCTCCTTCGAGTAGGTTCGGGGTATGAAACCATGCTCTCCTTTTTTTTTTAGTAGTCAGGATGGCTGTTTTATCGACCGGAACTATCAATGACGCATCGATGCATCACGTAGGGGGGGGAGGGGGGAGAAGATTCAGTCATCTCACGTCTCGATCGGGCGGAGATCTCACGTCCGTCGTTTCTTGCTTCGATCGAAGCACTCTTTCGTTTACCTTCATCTCTTGTCGGTGATCTTGGTGGGGGGGGGGTTATGATCACGATCATCGCGATAGGAAATTATGCCATCGATGCCTTCAACTATTGATGCCTTCAACTATTGAACATCGATGCATCGTGACAGTTCTTTTCTCCTATTACTGTTGAGAATCTTTCTTCGTTTCGGATGTTCTTCTTTGGGAATCGGCAGCTCGCAAACCTACCTAACGATGGCCGATGACACCGACGGAGCCATACCGGCGGTTGCCGATGCCGATGTACAGCTCTAATATCCTCGATCCGCTCCAACCTTGCTCTTCACTTTCAATCCTGAAATTCACATCGAATGTGAATCGTCTTCTCCCCTGTGAAGAGAGGGTGACTTCCCTTTGACCCCTCCGCAAGACAGCGGCGTGCCGCTCCTGTTTGGGGAGAGGGGGAGGCTGGCATCTCATATTAATGATTTCAGGAATGTTGATAAGACGCCAGGAAGACGTAGGTCCGCCGCTGATAACCTCCGAGCCCCTTTTCGACGTTTTGACGAGCGGGTGACGGCACGAAACAAACAGGCCACCATGAAACAGGCAATGTCGGCGTAGCAAAGTCAGACCGGATAGATTTTACAAACCCGTTTTCCCGATCTCGTTTCTCGTGGAACTAAACCTAAATTAGGTACTGCAGAGAAAAAATTTCTAAAAGTCCAGAAGCGTCTCCAGAGGCGATCAGTAGTTGAACCAAATGTCTAAAAACGTATTTTCTCGGGCAAAAAGAAAATGTTTTCGGTTGAAAGCGATTGCGAAGAAGCCGGAACCCGGAATCCACGAGATGCAATCGCAAGCAGATGACGCCTCTCGCGTCCAACAATCGTATCTGTCGAACAGCTCATTTTTCTCTTTCAACGAAGTCAACGGGGACATCGAAATGTTATACAGGGGGAGGCAAAAGTCACTTTGTAGTTGTTTAACATGGTTCAATTTCTAAAGTGACTGTTGTTCACAAGAGAAGCACAAATAACCCAGAATTGTGATTGTGCAATGCAATTTCAAAGCAACCAACATTATGCAGCAGTATTACACTGAAACGAAAAAGGACAAGAACTTAAAAAGCAACATTTTTCAGTATACAGGAACTAATAAGAGCAGGACTTCCCAACCCAGGGGTTGCGACCCCATTTGGGGTCGCAAAAATAATATTTGGGGTCGCGAACCGCCAACTAAATGCAATTTTACGTTTTTCTTCGCGATTTTAGCGCATAGGTAGGGGAGCCTGTCTAACTTCGCTCAGTGCATGGGGTCGTGAATAGTACGAAAGTGATTTTTGGGATCGCGCGTGGAAAAGGTTGGGAAGCCCTGTGATAGAGCCTCACCCTGTATAACAGCAATTTTGCACTCTAATATACCTCGGAGATAATATTTTCAAAATGTTCAAATGAGAATAAATGAAATAAATAAATATGTATATATAAGCACTTTCTTCTTGCTCAGTCGCTATGTGGTCAATCTGGAGTACAATAATAAGCATTTACGAACTATAGTTTGGGTGTCTGCCTGTGTCTCGTGCCACAAGTAGCACCGAACCGTTAATGAATTTTCAATAAACGTTTCATTTCATGTGCTGCCAACGTTCCATGAACGCCCTTGGGAACGTTCCTCGTCTGTTCAAATGTCCGGAATTAAGAGCGATCAAAAGCAGTTCAAATTATGCGTTCCCACATCGTTCATCCAGAACGTAAATTGAACATTCCCAAACGATATGAATAGGTTGCATTCGTCCCAAGTGAACTCTGCCCCAGTGACCGCGGTCACAGGTAATCGCGTGACCACTTATTGTAATCGGAAGTATTATCGTTCCTCATTTAGGAAAGATAGTATCCCAATACACAGTCATGCTCAAGAAAAGCGTCTCTTTAACGTTCAACGAACGTCTATCAAGAACGTCATGTGTTGTTGATGGAACGGCACCCAAATTGAGCGTCCAAAAGCTGTTCGCCCCCTTAACCTTGAACGTGGAAGAACCTCTTTGAGCCGGGGTTCAGCGTCCTCCTCAATGATCTTGTTACTTGGGATCAGTTTCGAACAGTCGCAAAAAAAAGTGGAGTGATACGAATCTCAACGCCCGAAGCCCTCCGAGATTGTCGACCGATACGAGAGCCGCAAAAACCGTGGAAGGGTCGAGAGGATGGAGAACGGGAGAGCATCGATGTTACTAGGGGGTCGAGGAGGATGGAGAATGGGAGAGCATCGATGTTACTAGGGGAGTCGAGAGGATGGAGAAGGAACTGCCTTGGGGAGGTTCGACCGACAGGGTTTACTCGGGTGGAAGCCATCACGTCTGGCAATTGTCGAGAGATCGGCAAAAGTTGCCATTATTCGTGCAAGCTGGTCTTTAAAAACAAGGTGGGCGAGTTGGGATCTAAAGACCCTACGGGCGCAAGACTTCTCTTTCGGCGATCCTAAAGGGAAGTGAAGAAAAATGAGTTCTCCAGCACGTCATGGAAATGAAGGCTGGATGCCCCATTGCGAAAGCGACGCAGCACCGAATGGAATGCGCCCGTGTTCGCCTTCCACAAACGAGTTGAAGACCTGTGCGACCCTTCGCCCGTTCCCTCACCTCGTGCCCGAATAGGCACGGGGGGGATCCAAAACCAGTTTTTTTTTTTTCTGCGCGTAATTTGCTGGTGAATTCTTCGATGAGGCAATTGCTCGGAAGCAGAGAATCCACTCAGACATTTTCCAAACACATGCAGCTCTGGTAACCAATTAAGTGTCTAGTTACATATAATATTCATTTTCGAATTTAGGGATTGATTTCGATTTTGGGTGCTGCTATGAGTGTTTCCATACAAAAAGAACCTAGAAAACGGACTGAAAAAAAGGTATTGAGACTCTTAAGATTCTGTCGAAGAAGCAAGCACACTTGATAGGCGAGACACGTACGTTCACAACTATCTACTTCACCCTCGGTTGTTTTACCTCGTTTTTGTTGCCTCGGATTTGTTACCTCGGTTTCGTTATCTCGTTCTTCGTTGCAAGGGAGGAAGAAAGGGTGGCTGCGGGAATGTGCCGCATGCCGTCAGATAATCACGCGACGGTGTCGAAATTCATGCGGAACCGGTTGATGCTCCTTTCCGGCTCCGTCCTAAGTTCGGGCAGACCGGTCCGGTGCGGAGCCCGAGAGGAAATTTCAAAGCAAGCAGGCGGCTGGAAGGACGAAGGAATTTCTCGTTGCGTTTACTTTGCGGGGGAGATTCCAAGTTCTCGGGGCGAGGTTATCACGTTGCTACTCTGTCTCCGAATCGTATTTACTCCATGCTTTCCGCCGCCGCACTCCTCGTTATTGTCGCATTCCACGCTTTGTATTAGTCCATCGCATGCCGCGGGTTCCACACATTTCCAGTCGATCTATAGGCTGCATTCATCGGTCGCGGTGTCTCCGTCCCGGTGGTCCGTGCCACCCAGCCGTCGCGATCGCAAGTCTTCGTGCGGCCAGATCCTGCCGCTCCCCGTCGCATGGTGTCGGCGTCTGAGCGAATTCTCCAATCGGGCTGCTCGTTCCCCGCCGTCGCTTTCCCTCCCTAATTCCCATTTTCATCCGATGGATTCCACGAGCTACTGACCTCGTTTCTCTCGTTCCCATGCCTCTTCCTGGTGTATCTGCTCCATTTTACTCCTCGTCACCTTGTGCTATTGACCTCATTCCTCTCTTCGCATGCGATTTTCCGGAAGATTAGTTGAAAACAGTCCATATCTTCACACTCATCGCAATTTAAAGTTTACCTTGCACCTGCACATCCTCCCCTTCGTTCACCGGATGAACAGCTCGCGGTGGCACTTCTGAGCCATCGCTTGTTGTCCTCTCCCCGTCCTCTCCCCGTCCTCGCCTCCGAATAAAAGCTCAGCTCAGCGACCTCCTCCGGCCATTCTAATTAGTCGCTCCTGGCGGGTCTCATACGAAGCGCTCTCTCATGGCCCGATCGCTGTTCCCGTGACCCATCGTGCTCGTTCCCCACTTCGTCCTTTGCTGGCTCAGTTTCTCTGATTATTTTTCTTCTCAGAGAAATTTAGCATTTAATGCGGAAGGCGAAAGGGAAGGATAACCTTGTTGCTTCAAGCATGGATCTTCTTCATAGGTATTCGTCAAATGCATAAGTAATAAGGCACCGTTGATGGACCGTGTTCCGAGATGGCGCTCGCAAGGAAATTGTCACAATAAGGCACGGAATCGACACGACATCACATTCTGCCACAACCATCAACCTGCGTTAGAATTACGCAGATCGGATCGAATACGCGTTCTCAGTTGGAACGAGGAACGATAAAAAAAAATAAATTAAAGTTTTCACATTCCAGAATTGAAAGAGATTTAGCGTCCCGGCATGAGGGATGACCGCTCATCAGAGTAAAATAATAATAATCGATAATGCAATAACGGACGAGAGCAAACTCCGCCAAAGCAGCCCGACACGTTGCATTCGTATGACATCTTGCGAGGAAGGAAAGGAACGGCCGATTGCGAAAGTCCAGAAAGGAAGAGACTCTTCCCCATCGCAGACGGCACACCTGACCGGAACGAGTTCGCTTGGTCCCTGCCCAAGGCCGTCCGCTCGAGATGCGAGGGGGAGAATCCCACTGAAACGCATACCGGGTCGGGTTTTGTCACATGCAAAGAAAGGATCATGCCGGATTTTTGATCATTAGATGGGTCGAGTACTCGGCCATCATCCTCTCCAATAGCGGCAGCCCACGTGGGCTGCCGATATCGGAGAGGATGATGGCACGCAAACCAACGGGGAATTCCGGTACATGCATTCCAACCGCTTTGAATTGCATGCCGGAATGCGTGATTATTGCTACAAGTATTCCAAGGTCGCTCTCTCATCTCTCATGAAAAAAGGCGAAAATGGGCCTCGAGATACCCAAGGTATACATCGCGCCACCGCAAATATCGCAAATCTTTATTCGCCGATCGACCTTGATGGAGTCACGCGCTAGCCTGTCGTTCGCGGGCGCGTGAGGCTTTCGTGAGGCCTTCCGCCTGTTTTCCTTGGTGTCGTCTGTTTTCAGGCGTCCTGTCCGCGTTTTCACTTTCTGTGGCGCGGTATTTTTTGCCATTTTTTTGCAGTCGGAAACGTTCGCGTTCTGCATATGGCCGTGAATGTCGAGGCAGGTTCTCATTTTTTTAAAATTTAAATTCGATCGTCTGCTTCGACAATGCTCGATCCTTCATTCGGTTTTTCCCTCACTCGTTCAGACGGGGAGAAAATGAATGGTCGAAACTTTCGAAAGCCCCTCGCACGATGGGAACTTTTTGCATCGCATTTCGTTGCATTGCGTTGCAACGGAGCTCGCTCAAAATCCCAAGGCGGCTGGATATTCGCATGGTATTTGCGATCGGTGACGAATATTCCATTTTGGCGTCATTGAGGGTTGCTGCAAACAAACGAATCAGCGAAATCATAAAAGTCCGGTAGAGTTCTGTTTATTTTGGCAGAAAAACCGTTGTTTTAGTCTTAAATGACAAAATTGAGAATTTAAACTAATTTAAAAAAATGCATTGGTAATGACGTCCATTATGCTAGTAGAGAATTTCCATCATGTTGGAGAATTTCAGCACATATATGAGACAAAGACAGGCTTACAAGTAAGTTTAAGTTTCTATTAAGTTAATGCATCCGAATCCGAGTTCACCACGACGTATCTGACACAATTAATTTATTTTTCGTAATGAATAATAGTTAATTATTCATCATAGTTTCCATTCACCATATTCTGTCGTCCTCGACGAGTTTAATGTGACCTGGCAGAACTCCATGGCATTCCTCCCCTCCCATGCTTCGGCGTTCAACACTGCAATTTAAGCAAATATTCGTATGAAGTTGTTCGTCTTTTTCATGGCGAGCACGGGTGATGTCTCGTACCGCTCCTTCATCATAAAAGTGGGAGGTTTCGAAAAGAGCCAACAAGAAAAAAAAAAAAAAATTCGGGACTTAACCTCCCCCCCCCAGAATAGCAGTTATTTGTTGATTAAAACATCGACCGATTCATTTGAACCGATTTATCGAACGTTCTTTCATCGGAGATGCCAAGTGAGATGTCGCTCCTGCTCCTCCTGGAATCCGCTGATGGTTGCACAGGATTCGGTTTGCAGATGGAGGGAAGGTGTGCGTACGTCGTCATCGTCATGGCGGTATTCTGGATGACTGAAGCCATACCGATAGCGTTGACGTCTCTCATGCCGGTCTTTCTCTTTCCCCCTCTCGGGATCCTTGGGACCTCTGCTGTCTCGATGGCGTATTTTAAGGAGACCAGCATGATGTTCATGGGTGGGCTACGATCTCTTCTTTAATCGCGTTTGTCGCGGCCGTGAGAATGGATGGATGATCGGGATGTACGGATGTGCAGGAAGCATCATGGTCGCGATTGCCGTGGAGCACTGCAGCCTCCACAAGAGGATCGCCCTCAGGGTCCTTCTCTGCATCGGAGCCTCCCAGAAATGGTCCGTTTCCATTCCTTCTTATTTGTCCTCAGTCATGCAACGACGCCCTTTTGAAAATGGCCTTGATTTTCAATTCATCTCCTTACATTCATGTCGTCAATCCAAAACGGATTCTGATTTGTGTCGAACCTGGGTGCAGACAATCTCCGTTGTGGCAGAATGCTGCTTCAATGGAGACTGCAGTCTCAGGAAAATATGAAAATCTGCTATATAATCTCGGTTCCTTTGAATAACGCAACAGGTTGATGCTGGGGTTCATGCTGACCACCACTTTCCTGTCCATGTGGATCTCCAATACTGCAACCACCGCCATGATGGTTGCCATTGCGGAAGCCATACTTATCGAAATCTACCGGGTAGGGACTTCAATTAACGTCTTATATCCGATACCACGAATAATGTTCCGATGTACTCTGCAGAAAGATGATCTCGAGGCCGGAAATGGGGCGGCGGGAGGAAGCCGACATCGTGCCAGCCTGCAGGACGTGCGTCAGCTACAGCAACGAGAAATGTCCACCACGTCCCTCAAGCCTGTTCTCGAGAACGAAGACGAGTTAGGGCATCTTATCTATGTCACTCCTATCATTCTTCAGTAAAAAAAAAAATAATAATCTCTGCTCTGATCAAGAAATGCCACAGTGGCATGAGTGGGAGCAGGCAGGTTATCGGAAAATTTGATGTCATCGCTTGTGCGAGGCGAGGCATTCGAGGAGTATCTTATATAACGATGAGATGAAGGATTCTATCTCAAGTCTGTTCTCGATGAATATCGATTTCCACTTCCAGAGACTTTGAAGAGCCTTATTTTTACATTTAAATTTAATTTTATTCTTTGGAAATCTCGCTCGCGTTAGGTATTTGAACGATGGAGAACTGATACCGAGGAAGAAATTATCCGTGCTGACTTATTCAAGCGGATATCAACGAGGGTAATCAGAGTGAAGCATGTTAGCTGTGGAGACAAGCGACAGAGATAAGAGGGAAAAAATTCCAATTGGCGATTTCGAATGTCTTAATCTATTATGATCACTTGAACCAGTGCGTGGGAAAACTGGGAGGATGACAAGTCGGAGTTCAAAGAAGGCTACCGAGAAGCTCGGGTTCAAATCATGTTGGCCATAGCGTATTCGGCCGGCATAGGAGGGACTGGGACCCTCACCGGGACCGCAACCAATCTCATCTTTAAGGCGATCATGGACGAGTACGTCACTTCATCTACTCACCGCTAGTTATGCCTAGTCGCTTGCATTTAGAATTCGAGGTGCCTTGGCTGCCTGGAATAAGTAACTTTTCTTTTGTTGTTTCCTTCTCTCGGCTGAGGGGGTTTGGAGCTATACAAGAATAGAAAGAGGAATCTCTGTCCATTTCTAGGCTGTACGGGAGCCACACAGGACTGAATTATGGCACTTGGATAGCTTTCAATGTCCCAGGATTGTTACTTAATGTCTTCTTTACCTCTCTCTGGCTCCAGGGCATTTTCCTCTTCTCTCGGTGAGTCACAATGCCTTAAACTGCATCTTCAACGACCTTGTTGATCATGATTTAGTACCGGTTACTACGTGCAGATGGAGGCAACGTCGGAAGCACCCGGAGAAAAGGGTGCCGAGTCGAAGCGAAGAGAAAAAGGCGGATGAAGCTGCACACGCCGTGATCGCCAAGAAATACGCGGAATTGGGACCTATGTCCTTCCACGAATGCATGACTCTAGGCCTGTTCATCTCTCTCGTTCTGCTGTGGCTTTCCAGGGATCCTCAGTTCATCCCAGGATGGGCCAGTTTGATCGAAGGAGACCGGTACACATTCTCCAGCCCTTTCAATTTCATATATTTCATCTGTATCCAGTCTCTGATGAAGATATTCTGACAGTTGCTGCATTAATTTCCCAGGGATTTAAACATAGGGGATGGAACCGCTGCAATGTTCATCGTCTTCCTCTTCTTCATCATCCCCGCGAAACCCAACTTCTGGTGCTTTCGGGAATCACCAGGTTGGCAATACAATTTCCCCCTTTCCCAACAGCTTTGACGTTTTTTGACCACTTGATAAATACTCGGATCTCCTCGTTTTAGATGGGCCTTCAAAGCCAAGCGAGGCCCTGCTCAACTGGAGGGTCCTCCACGAGAAGATCCCCTGGGGGTTGGTCCTCTTGATCGGAGGGGGATTCGCGGTAGCCAAGGCCTCAGAGACATCCTGCTTGTCGTACTGGTTGGGCCAGCAGATGGGAAACCTCCGGTACTTGTCCCCGGCCGTCCTCGTATTCATCATCACTCTCATGACGGCCATGATATCAAATGTGGCTTCCAATACGGCCACAGCTACCATCGTCACGCCCGTCCTTGCCCAACTCGTATGATACCACTTTCATTTTAATATATTGGTTCTGTACTGGTAATGAGTTTAAATGACACGACAAGATTCTCCTCTCCGACAATTATTCTTCTCATTTCTCCCTGGATGTAGGCATCTGTGGTGAAAGTGAATCCTCTGTACTTGATGCTGCCATCGGCCGTGGCCTGCTCATATGCATTCATGCTCCCTGTGGCCACTCCATACAATGCCATCGTCTTCGAAGCTACCCATATGAAAACCAAAACCATGGTATGTCGCAATTATTTATTTATGGCCTGTCGTCTTTTTTTTTACGTGTCCTTTCTTCACTCTAAGATTTCTCATTTTCCCTTTCAACCAGATGAAGGCTGGATTCGTCATGAACCTGATCTGCGTGGGAGTGATCAACCTGATGATCAACACGTTGGGGGATTATCTTTTCGATTTCTCTAAATATCCCGATTGGGCAGAGGCAGCAAGCATTTCCAGCACCTCCCCCTCCTCCCACTGCAACTACACCCTCTCCTAGGACTTCCAGATTTTCCTTCATCATCACTTTCCTTGTCTCTCACGGCTCTCCTTCCATGTACCAGGAGCCACTTCAAGCGTTCCTTACGCTGTACTGACAGTACATTTTTATTGCCATACCTTACCTGAGTCAGGAACTTCCGAGTAGACGTATTGCTCACTGCATTCCTGTCCTAACTCGTTCTAGTCAGGAACTGGAGGAGAAAACGACTGACCACTAGGACATCAAATTTTGTATTTTCGCATTTTGATAATGAAGATGATTCTGTGCGAATGGAATATTGTTATTTTCGTGATACCCTACTATTCAGGTATTATATTCCTTCGGGGTATATAAATTCAGCAGCTGCTTAAACATTTTCCTCAAGTTCCTTTCCCTGGTTTGAGCAACCCATGAAATCGTGGAATTCTTCACATTTTTAATATTGTATTATCCTATAGTCCTTTAAAAGCTTGGGAATTCCACGGCAAGTAGACAGATTCCTCTTTCTTCTTTTGAAGGCCGCAAGCTGGTGAGATGTTCTCTGGTAGAAATCCTTTATCGTCCCTGACCCTTGTACTTTCTTAGATCCTTCCCCTCCTCCTCCTCGGGAGAAGCCTACAGGAAATTCTCTCTAAATTGGGTTCCTTTTCTCCCTGCTTGCATTAAAATTAATTTGGCAATCGCCAATTTGCAAGGTCGAGAAGACTGAAATCTCTCGATCCCGAGGATTTGACGGAAGGTGACGGAAGAGGTGAGAAGGGAGAAGTGAGAGAAGAGGTGAGAAGTGGCATTTGTTGTAGTGACCTTCCAGGAAACAGCAGGAGACATTGCACGTGGAATCAGGACTTCTTCTTTACTCACAGATGGTGCAATAACATGGTCCGAAGTTGAAGTATTGTATGTCGTATGACGTATGCATGATTTCCCTCTTTCGTGCGCTTGTCGGCATATTTCCATAAGGCAAGGACGATACCCAGCAAAGAACGCCTCGGAAAAACGAGGAAACAGTGTCTGAAATTGCAATACACGGGTCATTCCGCGCTAAACAAACAAATAGTGGAGATCAACCTGTCGTGGTTCTTTTCACCAAGAACCGTGATAAATGCCCCGTAAGAGGAGCTTCAGAATCCATAACAGCAATTTTTCACGGATCTATTCAGGTTCTCGCGTTATGGGCTCGCGATGATCCGGATTTCCCGGTCTTCGGACCCCAGCCGTATTCCGAAAAGTGTGACAGCTCGAAAGCTCCACGATTGCATAATTTACTCTTCCAATCATTTATATATATCATTTATCCAAAGAGGTTTGATGGTGTCGGCATCGAATTATCGAAACGTATTACGAAAGATTCATGCATCGAAGTGTCAGGGACTCGAAAGGTTCATGTCGTCACAGGCTCACAAGGGCAATTAAAAACGTAGCAGTTTTATTTTCATAACTTTTGCTGTCTGGCTGCATGCTCGGTCGTGCTCTGGTCATCAGCTCAAGTGGCTCTCCCGTGCGTCCCACTTTTGAGTCATCGTTCGGCATTTCTGAGCCTTCTTATCTAAAAAAAAAATGTAGTGACGTCGAGCACGCTGTTTCACGAGTTGGATACGGATCGCATTTCGAGAGGGGGAAAATCAAATGTTGATAGGAGCCAGCGAATTCCACGAATTCCTCGCGTGCTTGTGGGTATCGCTGGCTTTTGTCTCTCTTGAGAGGGCTCTTCCATTGTTTTCTTCCTCCGCATTTCGACCGTTCGATGGAAATCAGCCGAAATGATTTTTCTTCGACGAATTATGAGTTCATTAAGTTTTTCCCACGTTTCGAGCGTTGCCCATTCGATTCCAACACATTTCAAGCATTCGATAGTGCTGCCTTCGGTTAGTGGATGTTCGGCATTTTGATAAGTTAAAATTATCAAAACTTGGATTAATCAAATTTTCATTTAAAATTAATTTTTTTTAGGTTTCATATGTTTGCAGTTGATTTTTGCTGGACTTAGAACTGGACAAAATTTGGTATGCGGCGTCTTTGAGCTCCTCGCATCAATGCAGATGCTGTCTCAATCGTCTCTGGAGCAAGAAATCCTCCGTTGGAATGGCTTCTTCCGCGTTGTGCCAGCTTTGAACTGCAAAATTTACGATTGCAGCATATTTAGCATATTTCACATGAAGTCTGCTTACGCCATTAGTCGCTTCTGTCTTTATTAAGTAAATATCGACATGATTCGCCTCGATCATGAGACGCGTAATTTTGGGGCTTTCGAGCTGCCATACTTTGGAAGATGTAGCTGGGATTTGAGGACTTGGAATGCCAGGAAATCTGGATCCTCGAGAACATAATTGCATAAAAACGATTTGCGTTTTCGGATTCTGAGGCTCCTAGTGTCGGGTGATTACAATGATTTTTACTGAGAACCGCGACCACTACCCACAGACGGTTTAGCCTGGAATGACTCATACTTGCATCTTCATTTCCAGAATTTGTGAGTGGCGAAGGGGGGGGGGGGGAGGGGAGGGGGGGCGGATGATGAGAGGCTCTGACCAGGCTCTTCCCCTCTATCTTATCTGAATGAGAAAGAAGATCCGATGCACATGTACTTAGGTTACCCGGGTACGCGAAGCTTAGCCAGCACCACACCGAATCACACATTTGCGTCGAGATCTTGCACTCTGCGCCCCTCCCAAATTCGACGACACCGTCCCTTCCAAAGGCCTCGCAAAGCGGTGGTGAAGAAGCTTTTAGTGTCCGTCGGAGGCGATCAGGGTAGACGACAGCGAAGAAAATGCGGTGGACTTCCCACGTCTTCCCCTTCTGGAAGACATGGATCGTGATCCTCACGCCTCTTCTGGCTCTCCCTTTGCTCTTCGTCACCGAAGAGCGAGTGGTGAGTGTGTACCTCTCTCTCGTTCCACAGCGTTAACATCTCCAAACTTGTAGATCGTATTTGAGGCAAAGTAGGACTATGCGGACTATGCGGCCTATGGGGATTATGTGGACTATGAGGACTTTCCCAATCTTGTTCCCCAAAAGGCTGAAGCCCCAAAAGGGAGTGGTGGAATCAAAAACTATAGAGCCAAGAAAGCGCTGATATTGATGGGTAATGAAGCGGTTAAACCAGGGAGTTTGACGACTACCTGTCTCAGATCATGCTGCTTACGTGAAACGATCGTAACGTGCTGTAATATTTCTTTTCATTACGTTCATTAGTTGCGTCTTAACGCAACTAATCGGAGAGAATTTAGTAAAAAAAAATTATTCCATATTCTCGTTCTCCAAGTCGTCTGGTGAGATCACGAAAACGTCTGAACCAATTAGGGGCAATTGCGAGCAGAAATAGCCTTTTTCCACCAATCGACACAAATTTGAAGCACGAGATGTCTGCGATGATGACATCAACACGGAGTTGGCCACAGATAAACAATGAACCACTTAGCCTCAGAAAAATAAACCGTTATCGTTCCTACGTCATGTATGAGGCTTTCGGATGATCCTACTGAAGTACTCAAGTACTTCTTCCCTCTTCTTCTCTAGAATCCAAGAGAAACCTTACACTCTTGAGTTTTCTGCTTCCTAAGCATATTCTTGCACTAAAATACTCACTGCGGCCCTGTCGACTCAGGGCCGAAACTTCTCCGGACCCGAATGATCCTTCTATGTCCTCAGATTAAATTTAAAATTAAACAAACGAGAAAGAGAAATTTCGCGATTCAATTTGTCAAAGCTATGCTTCTCTTTCAAAACTATTTGAGAGATTCCCAAAACCAAGAACATTTTCCGAAGTGAAGCATCCGGTTTTGTCGCCATCGCGAAACGAGCTCAACGAAGTCATTTCCTTAAAGCACCTTTTACGAGACCTGATGCACGACACACGACTTCCGACCGATGATCGCTGCTCTTACTGCAGCTGTTCCCGCTGTTTCCCTTTTATTTCAGCAGGTCTGCCAAATTTCATTTCGATTCGTTCGGCGAAGGTTAGGAATCGATACGTTGAAGGTGAAGCTCGCCGATACGAGCTTCTCTTTATTTCGATAAGTTTTTCCCAATTCGCGGATCGATAGGTCTCAATATGGAAAGTTTCCTCTTTGTTTCACCGGATTTTCCCCGGCTCGTTTCCGTTTTCGATATTTATTCATTGCCTCGATCTGATCCAACGAATTCTAACGAAATTTCACGAGGCTGTTGGAAACGGATTCGTTGAAATGCAGTGCAAGTTTCATGAAAAAGTGTTTCATGCAAGTTTCATGAAAATGGCTTGTGGATGGACAAGTGCAGACTTCAGACGTCTCGTCACTTTTAGGACCAGCACGACTAACATTACTTAACGAGCTTATACTTGTTTATTTTCTAACTTATTTTCAAATACGTAACTTATTTATTATTATTATTACTTAACGAGCATTATCTTGCGGTCATGACAATGTTTGGAACATCATTTTTAGCTGGAAGGCATAGAAAATTTATTCCTCAAAGAGAAATTACATCAAGTCAGTTATTTTGTCCAGAGTGAGAAATTACCAACTTTACACATACAACAATTTTTTTAAATCGAAACTGTTAAGCGAAAATACGAGAACCCTGCAATTAGAGAAATATTCATTAATAATTACATTATAAATAAATCCCCACAGGGTATGAGAGAGGCTCATCCTCGTCTTCGGTTTTCTGGTCAGCGCGAAGATTTGAAAGTTGCAGAGAACTTCTGCGAGATTCGTTTTGTTGGACTGCGTGTGAACCTCATAATTCGCTGAGAATCAAAACATTGCAGCGTCGTTTTTTTTTTTAAATCATCAATGGGTGAAAAATTAATGAAGAAGTGGGAGGAAAGACGGGTAAACACAAGGGGAAGAACAAAAAGAAGGAAAAAAAATGCCGAGTGCAACTTGCAAATTACTGAGTCTTGCCAAAATGTTGGTCTGTTACCCAGAGATCGAGAAGAGCTGGTGTTGCCAATTGGCCTGAGGAGCCCTGGCCGATGATGGGCCGAGAGGCAGGCACGAAGCCGATCGCAGAATTAATTGCTGCGCTGTAATTGCAAAAAAAGTTTTAGACGGTTCGGAACCGTTTGCCGCCAGGCTCGACCGATTCATGCCAACTCGCAGGAAACGGTGTCGAAATTCCTTCTCGGACGCACTTGAGAAATGTGCCATGCGAGGACCCGCTATCGAGGCGAAGGACACCCGGCCCCCGATATCGTTACGATTGCGGCGCCGCAAGGTTCCCTCGGCAGTGTGCCTGATGGCAAAACAAAAGATATGCCTCCCCTTTGTGTGCTTTGCCGTTTGACACCTTTCATTACAAGAGCAGATAAAATTCCCATCTGCCTGTCGTAACATGCAAACCTGTCGCGTCTTATGAACCCTCATCGAGTCGGTGGAAATTGAAGAGGAAACCAACTTCTCAGGAATCCCAATATCAAAACGTATTTCTCTTGTTCCACTTTCTCGAAAAGTCTTGACCTGTTCCTGTGAGACGATCGATTAATAAGAGATGTTTATCGGTGGGGCTGAAGAAAATGTACGCTGCTATCCCCTGCAAGCGATGATGGTTGCAGGGGATTCAACTTTGAACAGATGGAGCGAAGGTGTGCCTACGTCGTCCTCATCATGGCGATATTCTGGATGACGGAAGCCGTACCGATGGCCGTCACGTCCCTCATCCCAGTCTTTCTCTTCCCACTTCTCGGGGTACTGAGTACTTCCGACGTCTGCATGACGTATTTCAAGGAAACTAGCATGATGTTCATCGGTGAGTTACGATCCCATCTTCAACAGCATTCGATGCGGACGTGATAATGGATGAACATGGTGCGTGCGCGAGCAGGAAGTCTCATGGTCGCCATCGCCGTGGAGCACTGCAACCTCCACAAGAGGATCGCTCTCAGGGTCCTTCTCTGGCTCGGAGCCTCCCAGAAATGGTCAGTTCCCATTCCACGTCGCTTTCTCTCTGTCATTCACTGTACCCTTTCCAAATAAAAAAAAAGTTATTTCCTTCTGGTTGATCACGTTCCTATGCGCCGTCATTTCGAGGAGGATTCGCATGAGTATCATCCGGTAAAAATGAAAAACAACTTCGTAACTTGAGGTCCTTTGCATAACGTGGCAGGTTGATGCTGGGATTCATGCTGACTACAACGTTCTTGTCCATGTGGATCTCCAATACGGCAACCACCGCCATGATGGTTCCCATCGTGGATGCCGTTCTCTCCGAACTCTACCGCGTAGGAGTTTCCAAAAACGTCTCGTACCTTTCTATTCGATACGTAGTGGATCAAGGATCGTTCATCGTTCGGATGTTCTGTATAGAAAGAGGATGGCATCGAGGAAGGAAATGGGTCTCCGCGAGAAGGCAGACAAGGCGTGAACCTGCAAGAACGACAAATCTCCATCGAGTCTCCCAAGTCTGTCCGTGAGATGAAAGAACAGTGAGTGCATCTCTTGTCCATATCACTCCACAATGACATTAATTGGGACGTAAATTATGACAAGTTGGAGTTACCATGAGTGACTACGGGGGTGGGGAGGGGGGAAATCGTTGGAGTAGATCAGGTTGGGAGTGTCGAATGGACGAGTAACTGGATGATGAAGGAATGATGTGTGGTTATGGACGTCCGAAGCTGCAATCGATAATAGCTATTAAGCTTACATCGATGAAACTGAAACTTTCAGCAGAACTGGATCCTATCTCATTCTCAAAGCTATCCTCCGAGGATATGTATCAATAGTCCATTTCTCCACAGGAAACCTGTATTTGGCCATGTAGTTAATTCGATGCTGTGGTGTCCAAGGCTTGGCTAAGGAAATGGAACAATGCGGCACTTCCGAACACTTTCGAAGAGCGTTTCCTGGGAATACGAGGTTTGGTCCCTACTGATAGACGTGGGGAGGAATAGAGGAGGATTACAATCACCAGGAAGTATAGAGAGATGATAAAATCGCTTCCGCAGTTTCACGCCGGAGCGCACAAGCCAAAAGGGGTTGGACGATGAAACTCGGCGAACAGGCTATATGGAGCGTCCAATAGAGATGGACGCAATTCCGTAACAGTTTGGCCGTGGAGTGCTCTACCAGATCACCTCGCGAAATTATCATTCTTCATTCCGATCAAGGTTCTACTTCGAACTAACATTGGTGACGGAGTCATGGGCAGGCCTTTATTGAAAGGACGGCCAGCGCGATATCACCTTTTTTCACTCCTGCTGGCTTGGAAGCCACAGGTCTAACGAGACGCATCCCGAACGATACTAGGGTTAAGGACGTCATTCGAAGGGAAGTCGACCTTTAACCACGGTAGGATGTGCTATGTAGTTCTGCAAGGTCTGGATCGTTGCTGACTCTTCATCAAGGAGAACAGACTTATTTATTGGATTCATACTTTCGTGCAAAAGTAAATGATTTACTCAGAGTTCAAGTGGTCAATTTTACCTTCAAAAACCATGTCGGCATTTTTGCAAAATAAATTCGAGTAGACTAATGTAATGGGGTAGTGGAAAAATAAATCGAGTGGAAAGGATTAAGAAATCGAATCAAGTGAACACTGAAAGCAATAATGATCAGATGCACCCATGATCAGATGATCCCCATGCAATTTTCCCGAATACTTAATGCAACCTGTTCACTGAGTTTAATTGCCATGCATCTCATAGTGGGCCCACCAGTGTCAAACACCACGGAACAGACTTCATAATTTCCTTGAATCGAGCTAAGATGCAGCACAATAGGTGAGAAAAAAGCCACCTCCAAGTATATACCGTAATGCCTGACGCGTGATGGATCCAGAATGGACCCCAACACGGAGGATGACGACTCGAAGTTCAAAGAAGGCTTCAACAACGCCCGGATCCACATTCTGTTGGCCGTGGCTTTTTCGGCCAACATAGGAGGGACTGGGACCATCACCGGGACGACCACCAATCTCATCTTCAAGGCGATCATGGACGAGTGCGTGAGCTCGCCTTCCCTTCTCGGTTCCCTCGGTCGCCAGTCCGTTCGTTTTCGTTCTGTTGATTGGGGTGTCAGGCTTGTGGGTCTCGTGGGCAGGCCGTGCTTTCTTGCTCACTTCTCTCCCTCGGTCAGGGTGGTTGGGGTGATTGAAAGACAGAAAGAGGAATACCTGTGAATTTCCAGGCTGTACGGGAGCGATACAGGACTCAATTATGGGAGCTGGATCGCTTTCAACGTTCCGGGATTGCTACTCAACGGCCTGATTGCCTGGCTTTGGCTCCAAGGCATCTTCCTCTTTTCTCAGTGAGTCGGTTCTGCGGAAAGATGTGGAACTCTTCTGTCGATGATATATGAAATGCCTCGGGCAGAAGGGGACAGCGGCGGAATCCCCTAGGAAAAGGCGAGACGAGCGGAAGCAGAGCGGCGCAGGAGGACGAAGCGGCTCGCGCCGTCATTAAAAAGAAATACGTGGAATTGGGACCCATGTCCTTCCACGAGTTCATGACCCTCACCCTGTTCGTCATCCTCGTTCTGCTCTGGCTCTCCAGGGATCCTCAGTTCATTACTGGATGGGCCGGCTTGATCGAAGGAGACGGGTAAGCATTTTATTGCACCTTTGTTTCCCCATGTTCCATCTGTCTCTGTGAACTCCACGAAATTCAGTTCACGGACGTACCGTTCCGCAGAGGTTTGGAAATCGGAGATGGAACCGCTGCGATGCTCATCGTCTTCCTTTTCTTCATCATCCCAGCGAAACCCAACTTCTGGTGCTTCCGAGAATCATCAGGTAGCATATTCCCAAACGATCCTAATGTTCTTGGTACGTTCAGTAGATCTGAGAAAACATGTTGCGTCATAGATTCACCGTCGAAGTCGAGCGCAGCCCTGCTCAACTGGAGGGTCCTCCACGAGAAGGTCCCCTGGGGGTTGGTCCTCCTGATCGGAGGGGGATTCGCGGTAGCCAAGGCCTCAGAGACATCCTGCTTGTCGCACTGGTTGGGCCAGCAGATGGGAAGCCTGAAATCACTGCCGACGGCCGTCCTCGTCTTCATCATGACTTTCGTGACGGCCATGATATCGAATGTGGCTTCCAATACGGCCACAGCAACGATTATCACGCCCGTCCTCGCTCAGCTCGTATGATATCACTTTCATCCACTATAATTTCTTGCCGGTTATCCAAGCGATTGACCCTCATCCTAATGCAAGGGCCGACTTTTCAACATATTAGTGTTCTTTTCTTAGTTATCTCCTGTACGTCTATTTAGCGAAAAACAAACCTGACACAAAATTCGTTGAGAAACTTCTAATGGATCCTCCTCCATACTCCTCCGTCTCTTGTTTCCTGATGGATGTAGGCATTTGCGGTGAAGGTGAATCCTTTGTATCTGATGCTGCCATCGGCCGTGGCCTGCTCGTATGCCTTCATGCTCCCAGTGGCCAACCCTCCCAACGCCATCGTCTTCGAGGCCTCCCAGATGAAGACCTCCACGATGGTACGTCGCTGCCATTCCTCAGTCTCTCCTCTGCTTCTGCCTCAGTCTCTCCTCTTCGTTCGATATTGTGTCCCATTCCCCCTTCCCCCCCTTTGCGATGCAGGTAAAGGCTGGGTTCGTCTTGAACGTGATCTGCGTGGGGGTGGTCAACCTGATGATCAACACGTTTGGGAGATATCTCTTCGACTTCTCGCAGTTCCCTGACTGGGCGAACACGGCAAGCCATTCCAACTCCTCTAGCTGCACCTAGATCTTTTCAGCAATCACCATTCATCTTGTCTCTTATGACTCTCTTTTCGAGTACCTGGTGTATTTTAAAAGAGCTCTATCGACGGAGCGAACATGACGTTCATTGTCATGCGGTGCTTGAGTACTTTTCCTTGCCGCATTGTTCACTGGTTTCGTGTGTTCCCCAATTCCGTTTGAGGAGAGGAAGCAATAAAGACACGGTCATGTATTTTATGTGGGGATTCTGTGACTTAATTCGATGCTGTTCGAATGGACCAGCTTCGTATTCATGAGTAGGCTATTTAGATATTCCCCTTTCTTCCCGAGCCACTCAATTGAGCAAATTCTCCAACAACTGATTTGTCAAATGTTCCTTTCATATCCAGAGCGAAAATTTCCCTGAATTAGTAGGAAATTTCATAACTTTGTATCATTTTCAATTATACTGTTCAAGTGGGATTGCTAAGAATATCACACTAAATCCAAATGGAGCAGACGGTTCCTCTTGATCCTCATTCGAAAGCCTACCGATTCCACTCTTTTATTCCAATTTTGGAATTCTCTCTTGTCTCTTGCCGTTGCCAAGTTATTTTTTTAACTTTCGTTGGCCTCCCTCTGGTGGAAGAGACTCACGTCTTACGTTTCTTCCGAGTCAGTAGCGTATTCGCATGCAGCGAAAGTTTGGAGGATGTCTCCGAGAGAATTTACGTCAGTCGAGGATGAAAACCATGGCGATGTCCTCCTAAAAGCGCCATTCTGCGTTAATATGAAACAAAGTTACAAGTTATCCTCTCTCCATTGTGAATGTGAGGCTATGCACCGTCTTCCGCGCCACAATCGAACGCGCCTACAGGGTGTCTACAGGTTACAAGGTGGCAACGATAGATGTTGTAATGGCGTTAAAAAATTGTCAAAAAGTGTTCAATCCTGCCACGGTGAAAGAGGATGAAAAATTTTAATTTCATTAAGCCTTACGAGGCGTCAGCCTTAGAGGCCATAGGAGAAAAAAACGATGCGCCAAATCATTGATATTCCCTGGAAGAGAGGCAACAGTTGCCGCAACCGTCGAAGAAGTGGACTGGGAAAGACGCACCTGCCTGCAAATCAATTTTTCGTGAAAAATGAGCTTCTGTTTCTTACCCGATCGGAGAACGCCTTCGTCGCTTCCGTCGCCGACAATTCAAATTCGAGGAAGGACAATGTCTGAAGGAGTTGAATCGCGCCCATTAACTCCCGACGATCAAAGTAAAAATGTCCAGGGGCTCTGCTTAGTCAGTGCGCAGTGTCAGGAGTTATGGCTCAAAAATCTGTAAATATTATATAAATGAACATACGGCACGCCGTCTGCCAGTCGCCCGAACAAACAAGGGTCCCACAACGGAAGAGAGATGACGCCTAAATGTAATCAATTCAGAGAGTTCCGACTTTTTTCCCAGACCGATCCGATCCGAATTCGACGACCCTTTTGCTGCAAAAAAATCGGACTGGATCCGACGTGCCCCCCTCCCCTCGCCCCGAGACGCAAGTTTGAAGAATTGTGGAAAATGGACTTTCAGCGTATGCATCTCCGCGCTCAGATCGCAACAATTCTCATGCATTAAATTTTTCTTTTTCAACCGTCTCTTTCATTCGTAGAGAGAGGAAAACTTCAACCGCCAATTGTACTTCTTGCAATCGCGTCGTGCGAACGGGTTTCTCAAACTGCCGAGGACTAAGCGTTCATCTTCCTCAACATTTCCTCAACATTTTGAGTCGGCTATTTAAGTGCCATTTGCGTCTCCGAGCCTCGCTCGAGGACGCGCATTTCGCTTCTCCCATGTCACGATCATTTTGGACGGGGAAACAGGAAGTCCGCGTCCCAGGAAGGAAACAGGAAGTCCTTGTTCCTGTCGCGGCAACGCTTCCTTCCCATCCCCATTCTCCTGGAATTCCTTCCCCGGACACGAATCGAAATTCCCACGAACTGCCTCTCGCTCTCGCTACGTGACTGGCTCGAATGATCCTAGTTCGTCCTTGAGCTAATTCCAACTACTTATTCTATTATTTTTACATTAGCGATATCAATAGGCTTTGGTAGCGCCTGTTATCTTTCTTCAGCCACTTCACATGGCAAAATTGAACCTCCTCGTATTCCTATCTGAGAGCATCAACATCAACGAAATTAGGCATGTTTCTTTCTCTCTCAAAACAGAATAACTCTAGCAAATTTGAAGTTCCATCTCTCCGGGGGGGGATTGTGGAGAACACCGAATCTCGTTTTTTGGAATATGTGAATTTCATTCCATTTCCCCCCCGCCCCCCTGCCCCCCCTTCCTGGGCAGGCACTCTTTGGGGGTTTTCGGAGGAAAGAGACCAACCATAAGAAAGATATTGACTCGCAGATGACGAAAAGTGGCCTTTTTTTTGCCTCCGAGGCACCGTTTCGCTGCTTAAGAAAATGAAATTAGCTGTCGTTCAATTAGGCTTAGAGTTCTTGCTCCGGTCCCGTCCCCCAGTGTTGCCGGATACCGTGCCTAAATTAAACCAGATTCAAGACTACTTCAACCTTCGTATCGGCGTCTGGATCTTCTGCTTTTTTATGTATGAGACATTTTCATGCTGAGCCCAAGAGTTGAGCTGAGAATGAAGCAATGGTTAGCAGTGAAAGATATATCCATATCCCACCACAGTCACTGTGGTGGGATATAGAGACATCTTTTCCGGACATCCCTGAATTAACAGGATGGCGCGCACCATGGTTATTATGCTTTCTGGAGGCAGTCTGTCCTAAGACCTATACTAGATGATTTGAGGAACTCCAGATAGGCCAAACGTTTTACGTCCGCACTGACATAGTTCGTGAGAGTACGAATAGGTCTGCGATTGAGCTAACGTTATGCGTCCTCAATGAGGTGTTGTCTGGAAGTCCACGGATTCACCCTTATAGCCTAATTGGCCTTGTATATCGAAAATTGAGTTTCTTTTGAAGGGAATAGGACGGCCTAGGTTTGACCTGAAGGCGGTCTGTTGGTTAGGCCTAGGCCAGACCACCCGAGAGTCCCGTAGAGAAAGGGGGGGAGGAGATGTTGAAGAAAGGGAAAGCCATTGAAAATTGGTTTTCACATTTCTTCTTCATAATTTAGGCCCGAGACGGATTCGATCCGATTGATCACCCAAAACCAGATTGCCAGATTGATGACACCATGGAATCTTCAACGGATTCAAGTAAAAGTGGAACAAAACGTATAACTGTCGACCGCGAGACCGGATCGGATCGAGACTGTAGACGTTTCAATTCTGATAATCGAGATGGATCCGACGCCACCGATGACGTCAGCGGAAGCGATTCGACGTACTGCCGTCTGGTTTAGTACGTGCTTTTCTCTCTCTCTCTCTCTCGGATTAAATTCATCTCGTGCATCCATTTAACCCATTTAATAAACCGCAGTGTAAAAAAAAAAGATGAGAAGAGTCTGAAGGTGAAAATGGAGAATTTTGGGAATTGCCTTAAAGAGAAAAATGCACTTCCCATTTGTCTTTATGGCTGAAATAAAAAAGGAAGTGGAAACTTTGCTCGCGGTTATTCCACCTAGAGCAAATATTTTCCTTCATCGGTTAATATGCAATGGACATCATACGTGAACAATAAAGGAATATTGAAAAGCAATCAATAAAATTCCCCTTCCCATGGTTCAAAGTGATCTTGGAACAAATAATACTTGAGAAAGGGGGAGGGGGAGGGAGGATATTTGCTCCATATGAGTGGGTTCCTCCCCCCAACCACCCCCGTTCAGATTCCAGGACCAACGCATAGGCCCTGATGACACTCTGCGAGTACATGCTATTGTCATTCACCTGGTGTAGCTACCTACTTGCTATTACTTGCTGGAATTTTACAGATTTGAAACTCCAGGCTCGGACTCTCTGGCAACGCGCAATCCGAAGCTTACCACGACACTCACTCTCGGGAGTACTCGCGAGAGGGGATGTCGTGGTGGGCTGCTCGCGTGTACTCGCCAGAGGGGATGTCGTGGTGGGCTGCTCGCGTGTACTCGCCGATTCATTCCCACAGCATGAACCCGACTGTATTAGAAGAACAAGCTGTTCGTCTTGGGTGAGGGGGGGGGGGAGGGGAAGCAAACTTTTTGTCTTGGCCGAAACCAGCTTATGATCTGCGACTTCTAAAGGGAGAAGATGAATAGCAAAAAAAATTGTTCAAAAATGCCAGATTGTGCTCAGAGGTCAACTCTGAGGCAGGTGAAAAAATTATATATTTATTGTATTTACTCTAACCCGCACAGTTATTCTGCTGCTTTCCTTTTTTTGCAAAGGTAATCTCACGACATTCAAAACCCACGTGGACTATAATAACTGTTAACGTTAAGTTCGGTCCAACCGGAACCTTTTTGTTCAGCTGGAGCAATAAGTGCTTCGAACAGACGGTAGATGAGAAAGCAGAAAGAACGCCTTCATCTGCGACTTGTAAACCTCTGGTATCAATCTTTTTTTTTTGTTGACAAAACTCATTTCCAAAGGTTGCTTTCGCTATTCAATTTCGAACGAATTCAAAATTTCATAATCATATGACATCTTGAGGGAAATCGATACCATTAATCAGTGGATTGTCTGTGACGCCAGCGCTGTTGTTAACTAAGTGAATACCTATTTTCTTGGAATCATCTCTTCCGCTACGTTCCTCTCTCGTGTCCATTTTCAAACGATCGACTTTCTCGAGACAAATTCACCTTCGCTGTAATTTCTTTAAGGATGTTGGAAAATGGCGAAAAGCAAGGATGACAGGCGACGGATCGCGGACCGATTGCACTCATCTCTCGTCCTTGAGGTCAACGAACTTCGAATGTGTGAAATGGTTCGTGTGTGCGCTTTCGTCTCTCTCATCTCCACTTTCACACGTTCACGCATATCGAAACACGGATTTGAGTCGTCGTCATCGACGACGGATGGGGTATATATTCGGGGGACGCGTCTCACGCGAGCCACTCGCTTCCTGAATCCATCGTCGATAGGGCTAGGTATTTAAAGAAGTGGAGGGAAGAGGGAAAAAAAGGTAGAGGAATACCTGCAATTTTTTTGCATCAGATCGAATCCCTGGATCGATCGCGGCAGTGAGAGCGTCCCGATCTGGGACTCCGAGATTCCTGTGACTCCCGGGTGGAAAGACATCAGAAAGACATCGCACGGCGGTGGTGTGCTTCTGCGTTCGGTGTCCGTCGGAGGCGATCGCGATGGTTTCGGAGAGGATGCGGTGGGCTTCCCACGTCTTCCCCTTATGGAAGAGCTGGGTCGTGATCTTCGTCCCGCTTCTGGCTCTCCCTTTTCTCTTCGTCCCTGATCAGCGAGTGGTGAGTCTCTCCAACCACCCCCCCCCCCCCCCCGAAATGAATTCTTTTAAAGGGTGGGCCATCAGCATCTACCGATAACCCATACAGGGAGGAGTATAACCTTCATAATTGTTGGTGATGTTTGGAGTTGAAGTGGTCACTCGTGACCGCCTGCAAACCGTGTCCAGGAATTGTATCATTTGGTGTTATGGTGATGGATGATGACAAATTATTGTAACATTTCCACCGATTTTCCCCCGAGTTCCAAGCCCAAGTTAGAAAGAGTACGACCCATGACTCGAAAAGCCTTTAAATCCACAGCAGAATACTGAAGTAGTTAAACGAGAGCATTTTGTCTCAGGCGAAGTCCAAGCTCGCGTAAAACGATAGAAACATACTGTTAGTCTCAGCATGGGCCCAGGTAAACAGTAAGCCTTCGTCGTTTTAAATATCTATTTTTTATTTTATTATATATTTTTTTTACAGACGATGGAGTCATATTTCAATAATTCTTCTGTCATTTCCTGTTCAGGTTTCAGTAGATGCCAGCAATTCTTCTTCCTGCCATGTTCGCGATATAGGTCATATTTTGACGGAGCTGAGTTCTTACAAGTGAAATTCAGGAGGAATTTGCTTCTCTCACTCCCATATTGGCCTATGGGAATGTGGAAGATATTGCGATTCCTTCTTCTTTTTTTATTGATTCCTTTGGAAACGATGCAGGAGTTGCCTGTGACGGTCGACTTCCTTCTGTTTGGACGCTGTCGGCAGTTGTCGATCGGCCATCCTCTTAAAAACTCTTAGGTCGGGATACTTTTTGCAATCCTTTGCACACAATTCACAGCGCAGCTTAGAGTTTCTCTCGTGTTGCGGTCGGGTTCGTATCCCCGACTACAAATCAGGTGATGAATTTCTTGAAGACCGTCTTGTGATTTTTACTTTTATCAGCCGCCAGCATATTTGGGGGGTACACGAGATGATCACTCGGGTTGCACATTAATCGATTCGATGTTGACAATGTCGATCGAATGAGCCGAATTCGACGGTCATACCCGTTGAGAGTTGTGCTCCCTCGTGACGCATTCGAGGCCGTGTCCGACCCGCCGGAACGTACATGGATCATCGGGGTTCGTGGCAGCCTTCAACGCTTCGGTCTTCGATCGACGTTTATTCCAGGCAAGGAAGGGAACCACGAGGTCGTCATCGACACTCGGAGCAGGGTAAAGCACGCACAAACCGAGAGAGGCATAGACGCAAAAATCCGCTTGGGAGGGACAACGCACGTTCTGGAGCTCCACGGGGCCAACGATTCACAAAACACGGAAGCAGTCTTTCAGCTCCTTCGACGCGATGCCAATCGACCAAAGTCGCATTATCGATGGTTTCATGAAATGCGCGACTCAGCAGGAATTTCATTGACGCAAAATCGGGATTCCTCCTCACTTTTCACTTCGAGAGCGACGCCGAGTCCACGGGAAAAAAATGCGACTTTTCGCTCAGCCCACCTTCGAGTGAGTGATCTCAAAAAATCATGCCGCGTTTCCGGATGCAGTCGAGGCCACGAAGACGTCGGACGGTCCTGTTTGAGTACTCAAAGTGGGAAAGAAGAGATGAGTCCGGCTGGCATTTCTCATTCAAGTGAGACCGATCGCATCGATCCGATCCAATCCGGTTCGATCCGCTCGGAAACGTTTTACCATCGGTCTGCCAGAGTCCATCCATTTTATCCGATGACGTTCTCGCCCTGGAATCGTTTGCGGCCAATGCACGGAGAGGGGACGAGAGATGGCGTATCATCGAAACGTCCTCGCCTCACAGACTTAGCGTGATTCCGTTGTTGCATCGTCGTTTCGTTCCATGGGGAAAACGGAATCGGTTTCATTTGCGAGCGGGGTCGAAGAGGGAAGGTGAGGCTGACGGTTTGGTTCTTCGGTCCTGCCAATTTGCAAGTGTGGCAATTAATCCAAGTCCTAAATAAAAAGAAAGTCCATCGGCAAGAAAAAATTCTACTAGGTTTTCTCGCGGTTTTTGATCCAGAGATTTTGCATCCGATCGGCATTGCAACTTTGAATCAGAGGCAGATCCGATCCGAGCAGTAACGTTCGTCCGGGAACGACCGGGATCCTCAAAATGTTCGGATCATCTGATCGGATGAGATCCGGACTGAGGATCATCTGAATTCAGATTCCTCGCTCCATGGAATATGGACCACGTGGCCACGAAATGAGATTCAGAGTAATTCCCGTATGAATGTGAAACATACCGCTTATCGGTAAAATGCAGAATAAATTTAAGGAATATGAGCGAATTTTGCCACTTCTCCCTGCCCCGTCCCTCTCGTTTCTGAGGATCTTAGAAGAGCATTCCCCGACATTCGCACGACATTCCCGTTTTGGAGCATCCAAGGTCCATCAACGACATGTCCCATGGGTGTTCTAAGGGTGTTCCTCTCCTCTTAGCGCTTTAAGGCATTGAATTGCAAGGATGGAAAAGAATCGCGTTTGTCTCTTGTGACATGCCCACCAGAGATAGAGATGTCTTCTTGCACATTCTCATCGTGAAAGTAAGAGAAGATCCAATTCTACCGATGTATATAATGGATATTTACCGATGGAGCGAGACGAATAGTACGTGCTACCCCGATGATAGTCGAGGGAAATTTATAATTGCAGATGGAGGGGAGATGCGCCTACGTCGTCCTCATCATGGCAGCTTTTTGGATGACCGAAGCCATCCCGGTGGCCGTCACGTCCCTCATCCCCGTCTTTCTCTTCCCCCTTCTCGGGATCCTTGGGACCTCCGAAGTCTGCACGTCGTATTTCAAGGAGACCAGCATGATGTTCATGGGTAAGGCGCGGTCTCTCCCTCGACTGCATTCGATGCGGGATTGGAATGAAGGAATGCGGTGTGTTCTTGTGCAGGAAGCATCATGGTGGCTGTTGCCGTGGAGCACTGCAACCTCCACACGAGGATCGCTCTCAGGGTCCTTCTCTGGGTCGGAACGTCTCAGACGTGGTGAGTTTTTCGTCGCGATCGCTTCCTCTGAGTCGATCGTGGTCCGTTCATAAAAGGGCCTTGTTTTCCGGTTTGTCTCCTTCCAATAATTCGCTGTTGCGAATTTCGAAGTCGGATTCGAAAATGTATCGACGCAAGATGACGATAATCTCTGTCACATCTACAGTCTGTTGAGACGATGGAACGTTTCTACGTAAACTCAACTGCTTCGGCTAACATCGCAGGTTGATGCTGGGGTTCATGCTGACCACCATGTTCCTGTCCATGTGGATTTCCAACACGGCAACGACGGCCATGATGGTCGCCATAGCGGAAGCCATCCTCATCGGAATCTACCGGGTAGGAACTCGAACATTCGTCCCCCCCCCCCCCCTCGGCTCACTCCAATGCCATCGAGAAGTGTCGTTAATCGATGGGATGTTGGGTGCAGAAGGAGGAAGGCATCGAGGTGGTGAACGCGTCGTCGCCAGGCAAACAACTGGGAAACACGCAGGAGTTGCCACAGATGGATGAACGACAGGTGTCCATCATCGAATCGCCAAAATCCGTCCTCGAGATCGTAGACGAGTGAGGGCATATCATCCATGCCGTTCCTCTTCTCATTCCTTCATGAAACAATATGAAAATGAATTCAGATTTGCCTACTAGTTATCACGAGCGATTTCGCGATAAATTGTCGGAAAAAGTCGATGGTATCGACTGGGTGGGGAGTGGCATCTCAGGAGCATCTAGATGACAACGGAAGGAAGGAAAGTTTTGTTTTTCCATCGATGAAACTGGGGAACTAGAACACCCAACTGAACTTGACCCAATCTCATTCGGAGAGTGTTCTCCATGAATATAAATCACGTCCCACGAACCCTAAAACCCTGTGTACGTGCTTGCATTTAATTCGCTTCCGTGTGAATTACTGCGCATTACGTAATCCAACAACATGGAAGTGACGTACTTTCTGGTACGCACTGACTCTCTTTCCGTACTAACTTATACGAAGGATATCAAGGCGAAAAAAAAACTGTCCTTTGAGATTTCTAACCATTTAATCCATGATCCTTGACTGGATCCAGGGAGTCGGACAACTGGGAGTCGGATGACGGGTCGGAGTTCAAAGATGGCTACCAAGAAGCCCGAATTCAAGTCATGTTGGCCATTGCGTATTCGGCCGGCATAGGAGGGACTGGGACCCTCACTGGGACAGCAACCAATCTCATCTTTAAGGCGATCGTGGACGAGTACGTCACTTCGTCCTTAGTTCTCTTATTTCCTCACGTTTTCTACGTAGTCGCTCACATTCTCAGCTGGGGATGTTTGAGGATCTCATGCCTTGCTTTCGTTTTCTATTCTCCCTCCGTAAGAGTGGTTGAGATGTTGCGAGGACTGTAATTAGTATCCGTGTGGATCTCCAGGTTGTACGGGAGCAAGTCAGGAATAAACTATGGGACTTGGTTGGCTTTCAACGTCCCGGGGTTGCTGCTCAATGTCCTCATCGCTTGTTTCTGGCTTCAGGGCATTTTCATCTTCAACCAGTGAGTCTCGATTCCTGCAAATCGAATTTCGACTCCTTCCATCGGCGCCGATCAACATCAGCTATCGTGGTCAGGTGGAAGCAACACCGAAAGCACCCGGAGAGACGAGTGCAGAGTCCGAGCGAAAAGGCGAAGGCGGAAAAAAAGGCTCGCGCCATCATCGGCAAGAAATACGAAGAATTGGGGAGCATGTCCTTCCACGAGTTCATGACTCTCTCCCTATTCATCATCCTCGTTCTTCTCTGGCTCTTCAGAGATCCCCAGGTCATTCCCGGATGGGCTGGCTGGATCAAAGGAGACCGGTAGGCAAAGTCTTGCGCTTCTGTTTCCTCTCTGCCTTCCGTCTCTCTTTTCTCTCAACTCCACGACATGCAATTCGATGGCCGTGTTGTTCCCCCAGAGATTTGAATATCGGAGATGGAACCGCTGCAATGCTCATCGTCTTCTTCCTCTTCGTTATCCCAGCGAAGCCCAATTTTTGGTGCTTCCGGGAATCGTCAGGTAAGCCAGAACATTTTACCCCCTCCCCAACATCCTTATTGTTTTTGGTCGGTGCAATCGATTCGAGTAATGGATTTCCTGTGCTTTAGATTCGCCGTCGAAGCCGAGCGTGGCCCTTCTCAATTGGAGGATCCTCCACGAGAAGGTTCCCTGGGGTTTGGTCCTTCTCATCGGGGCGGGATTCGCGATTGCGAAATCTTCCGAAGCATCCTGCTTGTCCTATTGGCTGGGCCAACAGATGGGAAGCTTGGGATCCTTGTCCCCGCCTGTACTCGTCTTCATCATCACTCTCATGACGGCCATGATAACGGAAGTGGTTTCCAACACGGCCACTGCGACGATCCTCATACCCGTCCTTGCCCAGCTGGTATGATACCCGCTCCATCTGTTATAACATGTATTCTGCTAACCCTGCCCTGGGCCTACATCTGAAGGACCATCTTACAAACACGGTTTTTTAATATTTTTTTTATTTTGCTATTCCGCCTATCCGGACAAACAGGACAAACATGATAAAAGGCTAACCTCGAAAGGCCCTCAGCGGAATCGTCTTCGTGTCCTCCCATAATTCTTTTCGTTTCTCATTCCATTATGCGTGTAGGCGACTGTGGTGAGGGTGAATCCTCTGTACTTGATGCTGCCATCGGCCGTGGCCTGCTCGTATGCCTTCATGCTCCCTGTGGCCACCCCATACAACGCCATCGTCTTCGAGGCCACCCAGATGAAGACCTCCACGATGGTATGTCACAGCTCCACCCTGCCTCCTCTCTCTCCCCCTCTCTTTTCAACCTCACAGTTTCGTTTCCCCTTGCGATGCAGATGAAAGCTGGGTTCGTCATGAACGTGATCTGCGTGGCGGTCATCAATCTCATGATCAACACGTTAGGGGATTACATGTTCGACTTCTCCTCGTTCCCCGATTGGGCGGATACGGCTGGCATTTCCGGGTCCTCCTCATCTTCACACTGCAACTACACTCTCTAATATTGGCTCCTGGAGCTCTTCGACCATTTTCATTGTCTCTTGCGACTGTCGTTCCATCGAATCCCTCATGTATTATTGTAAGGGTTCCATGGACAGAACTCAAAGCACATTCGTTGTCGTGCAGTGCCCGTGTTAGGGACTACTGAGTGGAGGCTTTTTTTTTGTAATAATTATTATTGAATACCTGTCTTTCTCTTTCCGTCTCTCGATGAGCAAGAACAGACGGACTTGGAGATAAACACGGACAATGTATTTTTGTATCAGATAATGAAGGTGATTTTGAGCAAATGGAACGGCGTTTCATTCATATCTGACGATTCAGATATTCAAGAGGTTCTTTCGCGAAATTCGAATTCCAGATTTCCATAATTGTGTTCTCTCGTTCATTCCTTAACCAGGTTGAAGCAATGTCTGAAACCTTGGGAAACTTGAAATATAGAATATTTTACTGCCCGGTTATGAGGTAATTGCTCAGACATGGAGATTGAGAAGGTACGTTGCGAACCTCGTTGACCCGATGGCAGAGAGTTCCTCGATCGGAATCCTCGCCTGCGTCGAGCGCATGCTCGATGGAGCAGCAGCAAGCGCGAAATCCCAGGGGGGGGGGGGGGGGGCATGTGTAAGGAGTCTGCACTAGTAATGAAGGGGGAGTCCCTGCTCCTATACCTCTCGTTCCGTGTAAATTTGAGCATTGAAAAAAGATTGCACCACAAACGTAAGTTCTAAGTTTAACCTCCGTCTCAAAGGGCACATTGCGTTCGTTTTCCCCATTCCTTCTTGCGATCCTCCAGATTCTTCAGTCTTCTGATTCTTCAGTCAATCTTCTGATTACCAGAGATTCCTATCTACAGACGATGACATAGCTTTACGTGACCTTTACTCTTTCCGTGGAAGCCAACCTCTTTTTATTCTGCGCAAATATCGAACGAGAATAGATTTCGCACAACCTTAACGTCAAAAAAGGACAAAAAATGTGTAACTGCATGAAAATTCTGACTTGCCTGTACCCGGTCCCCCCCCTCCCTCCCCTCTCCTCCCCCTCCCCCCCCCCTCCCTTTTCTTCGACACGGTCTAATCGACAGTGATATCTGGTCGTACAGTATACAGATGCTTCATTCTAAAATTCTGCACGTGGAAGAGAGAATAATCAGATCACTGCTTAATTCCTCGCTCGTCTCGAGCTCGTGATTCTCCATCTTCGCTTCAATATTTGGATATCGGACAGTGGATCCCGGTCGCTCAAAAATTGGAAATGTTTCGCTCCGAAATTCTGCACGTGAGAGGTGGCGTCATTGGCAAGCACTCGCTGGGGATTGATGAGCACGCCCGCCCGAAATTCCGTTCCCAGGGAGAGATTACCGAATCGTCATTGTGATAATTCTCGTATAATTCTCGGAATTGGCGAAACCCGTTCGGTGCCTTGCATTTGCTCCGTTTCCGGGGTCGATCTCCATATCCGACGTAGATCGGAACGTCATTCGCTTATACGAGGGTCACTCAATAAGTTATCTACCTGAATAAGAAAGAAACANACTGAGCTGGTGTAGTGGTGGGGCACTCACGAGACCTGTCGAGACATGTCACAGCAGGCACAGGCCTGTTGCTCATCCCTTTCATATTCAGGTAGATAACTTATTGAGTGGCCCTCGTACCTTATCGTTGAGGGTGGTTGATGATCCATTCCAACTCTATTAGCATTGATGAGCATTCGAACTCTACGGTAGTTGTGAAGGATTCCGGTGGCAAGCGCGACGTAAATGCTGTCAGGTCGACAGTTCCGTACCGTGCGGCCCCCACGAGAGTTGTGCGGCATGGAAACTAAAACTGCACAGGCAGTGTCTGGTTCCCGATCGGGCACGAGCAAGAAGTGAAGCGCGCATTCTTTGGCCGCGAGATTCCGTTACTCCTTGAGGGGAGCCAAAGCGGTTGGATCGGCAATAGCTGAGGAAATGCGATACGTTTTTGCATCTCCGGTCGGAGATGAATTGCTCACGGGGGGAAATCCACTCCGAGAACTCCCTGCCTCCGTGTGCTTTTCTCGAGGAAACCCCCCACATAACCAAAAAGCTTGGCCCAACAATGGCCCCTGCATGGCAAGCTCGGCAGATCATCGGCAGGCATGTTTGGCCCATTCCTGACTTTAGCTTGGCTAGCCATTTTTCGGCACTTCATTGGCGGAGGACATAGACCCTTTCTTGGCACTAGGCTGGTTTCACATTATAGGCGTAACATTGGCAAACGACACAGGCCCAATTAAGGCTCCAGGTTGGCTTGCAATTAAATTCGACATGTATCGGCTGCACGCAAAATTGTTTCGCCATTATTGCCAATTTTGGCGAAGCGTTGTCTCCATAATATTGCCCTGCCATCATTGATTCCGTATCAAACGGATGACACGATCCAATGCGCCTCAATTGCACTTGAAAATATTCGAGTATTGAAGTTCTCATTTTGACCAATAGATGGCAGAATGGTTCTCGTTTTCCAGATGGTACCAAAAGTACCCTTCCACCCTTCTCTAGATTCGTCCTTCACAGAATTACATCCTTATCTACTTTGTCATGTCTCATAAAGGCAATCAGTCGAAGCTGTCATTTCTTCATTTATGATCTCTATAAATGAGTTAAATCCATGGAGTTCAAGAATTAATCGTGCTAATACTGCCTATAAGAACCCCTGCATGTAGTGCGTTAATTTCATAATTGTGGAGACCCAGAACTTTTAAACGATGTTCTAGTAACTGCAAACTCCAACCATCGCCCTTCATCCAGATAATAGGACGGGATGAATGGTTTGAGTTCCAGTTAATAAGAACAAGAGAGCGGAGCATTATCTCTGGAGTACCGATGTTGGTACTCTTGAGTGATGACTTTGCTCAGCTTAGGTATTAGAAAAAGTACATTGAGTACCATTAATAAAGAAAGGAATTAGGTAATATCGGGAACATGCGGGGAAAAAAAATTGTATTGGGCCATTCTTGCCCCGATTCACTGGCCATCCATCGGCCGATGAGACATTATGGAATTGGCCCGTCGTTGGCGACCGAGGGTGGTCCAAGCACTTTGCCGATGATATGCCTTGCTTGGCCCAATGAAGATTGGCCGTCTGGGCCGGGTGTCCGCGTGCTCGAGGGTTTCTAACGAAAGCGCAAAGCTTGCGAAACGGATGCATTTGCTACGGTGGAGATTGAGAATCGGCAAGGGATTCATGGGTACGACTGACGATTTCACGTCAGAGAGAAGAAGTTCGAAAGACAGAGAAAGGAGCCGGTTCGGTATTGGCATCGGCATGCCGAATTTTCCTGCCGAATTTTCGCGGCACTTACCCTGACTTACATTCTTATTCTGCAGGAAATGGACCGGACTCTCTGACGGCATTACGTCGTGCTTTTCTCTGTAATCTTTTCCCTTCGTTTCTCCTGTCCTGTAATGAAAATAAAAACATATATAAAACATAAATATGAATTTTTAAATATAAATAAAAAAAAGCATAAATGTAATAAAAGGCAAGGATTTCCTGCTCTCGTTTCCATCTCCCAAAGCGGCCGCTTTAGATCTCATTTCACCCCCTCTGCTCAATCGGTTCTAAAAATGGTCTCTATACTAACTCCTTGTCTGCAGGGCGCCAGCTGGCAACTGCAAAAACAGCTCTCTGCTCTCTTGAGGCTCCTAACTCGTTTCTGATGGGACGTGACGACTTGATGGTGATTTACAAAACACCAGTAAACATAAATGAGAAAAATTGCTAGGAATTAATCTTTCCATCTCTTTCGCTCCATTGTGGACATAAATTGTTATCAAGCCCCACTGCATTAACACTTCGACTGACAGGTTGCATCATTATTTCAAGCCGCCGACTTGGAGTAAAAGTACGAGTAAATTGAGAAACGGGCGAAATCCTCGGGCTAGCCAAAGCACCGTAGCGGAGGGCGTTCGACCTTCCCGTGACCAAGGGTGGATTGCATAAAACTGACTTGAGCGCAATGGAACTTTAAACCTCCTTTAGCGGCGCCAAAGGAGGTTTAAAGCTCCACTACTCTAAAGTGAGTTTCATGCAATCCACCTCGTGACTCTAGCTTGAAGGGGGTCTTGCATTCTGTCAGCCCCTGTGTCGGGAGGATTTCACGCATGACGGTTCATCATTTTGCGGGGCCCACCATACATTTAGCTCTTACTAATTTTTTTAAAAAAGTACACCGACTTGGGTTCTTGCGTCTTTATTGAGGACGGCGGAGCTTGTCAACCGGCCTGCGGGGATGTGTCTGGCTCTTCTGCATGGGAGATAAATACCACGTATGGGGGGGGGGGGGATGGAGCTATTTCTCCGGCCGGAATGGGTATGTAACGTTCAGGTATGTGACTCCCCGTTCGGCATAGCAACGTTGTGTCAACGTTGAGAGAAGATTCATTTTTCAGCGTAACAGTGGTTCCTCGATGTTATGCGAAAGGTTGCCTCCATGTTGAAATGAAACACAGTTCAGCGTTGAAAGTCCTCTGAGGATTCAATTTCGCCTTAATTAAACCGAATTTAATAAAAATCGGAGAGGTTCAGGTCACATTTTAATTTTTATGTTGGGTTCACTTACCATAAAATTGAACCATTTGAGTTTTCCAGAGGAGGAAGTTCACCGAGGGAAAAATATTTTTTCGAAATGGATTAGTTGGGTTAAAAGGGATCCGTCTCTCTCGTTTTACGGCACGGACGTACGCGACACGTACGTACGTACACGCGATCGTAGGCCTTCGTTTCGGGGTCAGCCATCGTGGATCAAGGACAGACAGGCGGTCGAGTAGAGGTGTAGCATGGAAGTCCTTATTCACGGGGGGCGAAAGAGCTCGTTGTGGAAAAAGGCTTCAGCTGACGAGTGCTGCGACGATTCGGGGATTTTACACGGCTGGGCGATTTCAGAAGGGGAGGAAAGGACAAAGAAAATGTTCGCAAATTTCCTCGTTTTTTGCTTCCCATCAATTTTATGCCAACAACTTCCGCATTCCTCCCACGTGACTGATTAAGCCTTCGACGTTCGCAGGATGATTTCATCCGAGTTGCATTGCAGTGAGACGAAGACCTCTAAGGAGGAGGAATGTTGCACGGATGGACTACCAACGAGTCTCACGAACAAGAAATGAATTGCGTCTACGACCTAGAACTGAGTTGCCGGCGGCTTTCACTCGAGCGAAAGTGTGCGTGTGCGCGTTCGTCTTCCTCATCTAAACACAGGTCACACATATTCGCACTCGTCGTTCTGTGGCGTTTGAGGCGTGGGTGGGGAACGTGGGAAATGCCAGTCGCGCACTCGTTCTCTGGATTCCATCTCCACGGACGAAAAATCCCAAGACGAGAGGCCGACCAAGAGGGAAGATAGAATAGAGTGGAAGAAAAATCGTTCTCGGTGCAGTCTGATCGTTACTGTCGACGGGAGAGTGCGTGAGTGTGTCAGAACCAGGAACTTGGAGATTCATCGCCCCGTTTCGCTTTGACGACTCGATCCAGTGCCGTCCAAGACCTATTAAAGCTTTAGAGAAGTGATTGGGCGACCGTGTTGTTTGCCTCCATAAGAGGCGATCGCGATGATAGCAGCGGCAATGAAGAAAGCGAAGTGGACATCCCACATCCTCCCCTTCTGGAGGACCTGGGTCGTGATCCTCGTCCCAATTCTGGCTCTCCCTTTTCTCGTCGTCCCTGAACAGCGCGTGGTTCGTTGCTCTCTCCTCCAGCACGAGATGGATCCTTTCATGCGCCGTCTTCCCACTGCCTATGTATAGGGTCGGCCAAAAATAAGTTCCAGCCTTTTCATTCGGTTGTAACATTTTCGCGAAGTCAAGTGCTTGCAATCTGTACCATTGTCTAGAATGGCTAAGCTACGATGAAATGTACTTTTTATTTTGAAAGTCAGTTAAGAAGTATTTGCACGATGACAATTTAATGGCGAGAGGTGGAAAACCGCCGCTGCGCGACAAACCTACCGATATCATTATGAACAGGCTGAAGGGCTCTGTTCAGCAGACGGTTCGGATGAGCGAGGCTCTTTCGACCTAAATTTGCGTAGACCCTATCGTTTTGCCTGTTTTTCTTTTTCGTCCGCCTGTCTTTTTTGCCAGGGAATTTTTGCGTGCAATGCGGACCTCCACGTAAACGCGTACGGGTGAGAGCTCCATGCCGAACAGGATCTCGCCTTGAATGGACAAAATATACACTTTACAGGTGTAATAAAAATAATGAAATGCCCTAAAAGCATAAAAAGTATAGAAAGTAAGTATAGAAGCTCTACCGAAAATCGATGATGGTTGCAGGGGATTGAACTTACAGATGGAGGGTCGGTGTGCCTACGTCGTCCTCATCATGGCGGCATTCTGGATGACAGAGGCCACACCCATATTCATCACGTCCCTCATCCCAGTCTTTCTCTTCCCCATTCTCGGAGTCCTTGGTACCTCTGAAGTCTCGACGGCGTATTTCAAGGAGACCAGTATGATGCTCCTCGGTGAGGTACGATCCCTGCACTAACTGTATTCGCAACAAGCGTGAGAATGAATTAATGGGAAGTATGCATGAGCAGGAAGTATCATGGTCGCCATCGCCGTGGAGCACTGCAACCTCCACACGAGAATCGCCTTGAGGGTCCTCCTCTGGATCGGAACCTCCCAGAAATGGTCTGCTTCCCTATTATCACGTTCTCGAAGCCGTTCCTAGGCACATTCGTAAATGCATGGCCACGGGATCGCAAAAGTCCCTGTTGTAGCAGCAGTCCCACGTGTAGGTGAAAATCAGCGTAATAACGTGAGGTCCTTTGGACAACGTGGCAGGTTGATGCTGGGTTTCATGCTGACCACCATGTTCCTGTCCATGTGGATCCCCAACATGGCAGCCACGGCCATGATGGTCCCGATTGCGGAGGCAGTCCTCTACGAAATCTATCGGGTAGGGACTTCACGTAACGCGACATATCTTTCCTTGTCATTTGATATGGTTGTTAATCGATGAGACGTACTGAACAGAAAGATGGTGGCATAGAGGTGGCGAATGGTCCATCGCAAATAGGCCGACACAGCGTCCACCTGAAGGACATGGGACAGTTTCAAGAACGAGAAATGTCCGTCGCGTCCACCATGGCTATTCTTCAGATCGAAGACCAGTGAGCACATCTCATCCAGTCATTCCTCTCGTTCTCAATTAAGATTAAATGTAACATGGATCAGGATATGCCACGGTTACCTTGCGTGCGAGATAGATTGGTTGAAAGAAATCGGTGGCATTGAACGGCTTGAGAGTACTCTTTCAGGAGCATCCGGCTGATGATGGAAGGATACGGAAAATCCAAGTTGTAATGCCTAATCGGCAATGGCCGACGAAGTATTTCCACCAATATCGGCAAGCATGATCGGGACTGAACTCATTCTCTTTCTGAAATGTTTTTGATCGAGTTTGTTACCGATTAGAAGAGTCCTCTCTACTTCTTGAACTGTGATCTGGACTAGTGCATCGGGAAAATCTTGGGAGCATCAAAAGAGGACCACTGAGAAGCGAAGGCAGATGAAACCATATAGCACTCAATTGAGTCATTCGTAACAATAGCATAGAGTGGGGGAGCTAAAGCCCTACCGCCCTGTTTCCCCCCCCCCCATCTGATATAAATCCATTCGGCACAACTCGACTCAGTGCGCATATGCAGCTTTCCACCTTGGTCGGGGTGCCAGTCAACTACTAAAACTTCCACTTCCCTTTTAGCCTTCGTGGATGACGGGTCCATAGTTGACAATAGGAGAGAGGGGCTGCTCGTGGCCGCGTAGACAGGGTGGTCTGGCGTATGTGTGAAATGGTGAAATGCCGCATCTGGCGTCCAATACTTCATGCTCTCCTACCACCTCCACGCGACGCGGACGCCCGGACCATCGAGAACATTTTCTAGTCGTCCGAGATTTTGCATATAGGCCTATGACGGTTATTATATATAGACTAATGACAGCTATTACAGTCGTGGCCAAAAGTTTAGGACCACCCCTCGAATTTTAGTTTGAGGCAACAAATCGCATATTTACTCGGAATTAATCTTCAAGGACTGATTTTATTGTTTGAATAATCCAACATCAAAGGCTTTTACACTATAAGCACATTCTTTTTTGCAGAATTCTCAGAACAGTCAATATTTAGTATGTCCTCCATTACATTTAATAACCTGCTCCAAACGTCTCGGCATGCTTTCCACAAGACTTCGGCAATACTCAACTGAGATTTCGTGTATCCAAACATCTTTGATTGCTGTTTCCAGTTCTTTGGCACTTATTGGCTGTTTATCTGCAACTTTGTCCTTGAGAATGACCCAGAAATTCTCTATGGGGTTCAAATCAGGACGGTTCCCAGGCCAGTCAAGGACTTTGATATTTTTCTTCAAGAGCTCAGTCACAATCTTAGATCGATGGCAAGGCGCACCATCCTGCATGAAAATCTTGCACTTATGTACGGCCATGTGCAGCTCCAACTTGTCTTTCAGTAAATCAACGTACTTTTGGCCGTTCATGGTTGGTAAGAAAAGAGTCCAGCCGTTCCGTTGATCGACATCGCGCCCCATATCATGACACTCGGCGGGTGTTTCATCGTTTATACGGTGTACCGTTCATCAAATCTTTATCCAGTCGGCCTTCGAACAAAGCGCTTGCGTGCGGCGAACTGCTGGATGGTAGATTCGTCTGAAAATAACACTTGGTTCCACTGTTCAGCGGTCCAATTCACGTGTTTTTTCGCAAAGGCCAGGCGTTTGATCTTCATCGCCGGTGAGAGACGTGGTTTTCTCCCCGGTTTGCACCATTTCAAACCAAATTCTTTGATCAAACGTCGAGTCACGGTTCTGCGGCTTACATCCGTACCTTTTGCGATAAGTTCTGACCGTATGAGGAACTCGTTGGAGACCGAACAGCAATCCTCTTTATGGCGTGGTCGTACCTCGGTGTGGTCTTTCGTGGACCGCTTTCTGTCCGAATGAGTCCCCGAATTCGCAAATTTCACGACTGCATTGTGAACGGCGGTCTTACTACACTTAAACTTCTCACTAATCGCTCGTTCAGAATATCCTTCCAGGTGAAGAACCACAATTTGTGCCCTCTGGACCTCCGTGAGTGACGCTTTTTCTTTACCTATTTTCGCGGGTTTTTAGAAAAAGCATAACACAGCGAAATGCGGCGTAAATGCGGCGTGTTTACTGCGTGATGGTCAATTGAAATTGACCATCAATTTGCAATCAATCATCATGCATGCAATCAATTTAATTCTGATGCAATCACTCGGTTCAGAAAAAACAAGTACATTTTCTCAAGGGTGGTCTTAAACTTATGGCCACGACTGTAATGAAATCAGCGGACAATGCACACTTCCCTTCCGTTTCAGTGAACTGCCACCGGCCATCTCGATTCCCTCCTTATCAATATTAGAAAAACCCGTGGTCTTTGGTGCGGTTCGTGGCGGACTAGAGAAGACTCTCCCGGCTAGTTTTCATGGTGTGCCGATGGCCTACAGTTCTTAGGGTTGCGCCTTGGAGTCGCGGCCTATGAACTGAAGAATTGGGAAGAAGCAGAAACAAAACTCGAGTCATCCCTTTCTAAATGGAAGTTCAGATTCAAGTTCATGTCTTATCGATGACGAACGTTAATTTTATATCAACTGGTTGCTACGAAGTCGTGGCATATGTTGGCATGCCTTGAGCCTCCCCATGGATTTCTCTCAAAATTTGATTCTAAATTTCGCAACACCATCTGGCAGAGTAAACGTTGGCTTCATCCAATTTACTTAGACCCCTGACCCAGGGAGGTCAAGGTTTGATTTCTTTGGAAGCAAGGCTAAACGCCTTGCTTCCTTTTGTGCCTTCCGTTTGTGCCATATTAAGAGGTTTCTCATGAATTCAAACGAGCACCCCTCACAATTAACCTTCGTCTACTGTGCTTGTCTGCCAGACTACCCATGCGACCTACCAATCACAATTGATCATGGATTCCTTATTCTTTCACCCGGTATTTCCACCTCAGAGGATTAGTACAATCCTCTGAGGTGGAAATATTATTATTATTATTATTCTGAACTAGTTAGATTTTGGATATCCTTTCCAAGGAGTTTTTCTTGTCCTTTTCTCATTCGGTTACCTTCCGTCACATATCACCATGCCAAAATCTTTTCTTTTCAAACCTGGGGCATGGAAACAGACGCCTTTTCATTCTTTCCATGACCTCATAAGAGGACAGACCTGGTTAGAATTAGGATCAACTGAGCTGGAAAAAGTAAGCCGAACAACACAAATATCCCTAGACATGAATAAAATTAAAAATAAGGTGCAACTCCATTCGCTTATTCATTTTTCTTCCCCCTCCTTCACTATTTTGCTATTAGAGAGGAGCAGAGCTCATAAGAGCTCTGCTCCTCTAACCATCGCGTATGATGAGAAAAAGAAAAATGTCCATGTCACGATTCTTTCCCGTACCCCTGTGTATGACATTGCCTTTACTCATGTTCTCAAATTTCAAAGTTTCCTTTCCCGCACACCACCTTGGAACTCTAATTAGAGGATGCACTTCCTTCTCTCCGACGTGGAAAGCACCATATAGAAATCCATAATCAAAGTCTGATGGAGATATCAGCTGGCGTTTATTACATAATGCTTTATCCTCACCAGCCTTATCCAGAAAGATGAATGCCGAAATACCACTTTCACATCCCTTCTGTGCCCAAGCAGGGACTTTGATTCACATATTTATATTTTGTCCCTCTTTGGATCCTCTTGGAAATTGTCTCAGTAAGCTCGTCTCTAAAGTTAACCAAGAACTAGTCCTTGATATGAAACTGTTTTTATTTCACATTTTCCCAATGGTAAATTCTATAGTCGCCAAATGCGATCTTTGACAGATTTCATATTGACACTTGCCAAATCAACTACTTATAAGACTTATATGAACCATTTGAAACGTGCATATCATGATCCCCCAAACTATTTAGTTATATTTCAGGAAAGGCTGCGTTCCAGGATGCGACTTAACTTGCAAGTATCGTGCGTCCAACAAGGAAACGTTGAAAAGTTGAACTTTTGTCTCCTTTTGTGTGTCTTCCGTTTCAGCCAATTGGCTGAAACGGAAGGAGATTCTCATTAAACTCATTCTCAATAAAGAATGACTTTCGGTGGAAGACGTTTCCCAAACCTACAAAGAGTCAAATGGAAAAAAAAGGCTGGATTGCTGGTTAAACGGGTAGCACCCCTAGCATGACCAAGAGGAGGTCCCGACCCTCCTGGAGGCGGGGCCTAATTCCAGCATCCATGCGAAAAATTTCCTATATAAAAATCTCAAGAATGTGATTAAACGAATGAACACAAAGAGTGCTTTTAGTCATGCCCAACCCAATCCAATTTCTTATTGTGAAAATTTTGGTGACTGGAATCTTTCTTCTCTCACCAAATGTAAGCAAGTTCAAGCAGCGTACCTCCATTTTCTGTACTTGTATGTATGCATGATGAATTTTATTTTCTAGACGAATTAAAGTCTATTTAAAATCCATTGATCATCTGGAGACGGCTCAGCAGAGGAGTTTGTGGCATAACTTGCTGTCGAATCTAATACAGCTGAAAAACCCACGATTTCATTGCAAGAATAAGCTGCATATCTAAGACAAAGAAAGAACTCCAACCTTGGAAGGGGATTATCTTCCGTGGCTTCACAGAAAACTATGCATTTGTTGTGCAAGATGAAGCGCTAGGATTTCATTGGAACAACGGCCAAGAACATTGCATCCATTTGTCTGCAATGTTCGAAACGAGGATTTTGTGAATTGGTGCACCTAAATTTCTGCATCATTTCAGATTCATTTCAAGTCCATGGGCTATCGAGTACCTTCTACTTCTCTGATGGTGCAACTGCTCAATATGAATTATAGAGAACTTCTCAAACCTATGCCTTCACAAGGCTGACTGGTATCGCTGCACTGTGACACTTCTTTGTGACGAGTCATGGAAAAGGTCCATGTGATGGTCTTGGTGGGACTGTGAAACGTCTGGCCACAAGGGCCAGTATCCAGCGGCCAAACGGCGGACATGTCCTAAGTGCAATGGACCTTTTCTACTTTGCAAAAGCCTGCATGAAAAATATCTAGTTCATGTATG